CCTCAGCACTTACCTTAAAAACAGAACAAAAATGGGCAGGGCAGCCTGTTACTGATAACTCTAGCACTGGGGGCGGGGTGCTGTGAGGATCTCAGAGGCTCAGTGGCTACCCAGTCTAGCTAATTAGTAAGCTCCAGGTGCTGTGACAGACCCTGGTTCAAAAAAGAAGGTGGGGGGTCTGGAGAGATGGCTTAGTGATTAAAAGTATTTGTTGCTCTTACAGAAGCTCTGGGGTCAGTTCCCAGCACCCATACCACACAGCTCCCAACTGCTGTGAGTCCAGCTCCATGGGATTTGCTGTCCATTTTGGTCTCTAGGGGCACCTGCACACGACGTACACATTTGTAAGTTTAGGCACATAAAAAATACACATTAAATAAATAAAAACAAGATGAGCTGGGCATGGTGCCATGCCTTTAATCCCAGCATTCAAGGGCAGAGGCAGACTTCTGTGAGTTCAAGTCCAGCCTGGTCTACAAAGCAAGTCCCAGGCCAACCAGAGCTACATGGTGAGACACTGTTTCAAATAAACAAGCAAAAAAAGTAAGGGGGAGAGTGGTGGAGATCCAACGTTAACTTTTGACCTTCATGGGTGCACACACACATGCACATCTCTCTCTCTCTCTCTCTCTCTCTCTCTCTCTCTCACGCACACACACACACACACACACACTCACACTCACAGGTTTATTGAGATCATGTTCCTAGAGGTCTAGAAACACTATGTTGGCGTTTGCTTGGCTCACATCAGATGCTGTCTCATGCTGGAGGATTGGTGTGAGTGTGAGTGGTGTGAAGACTTGAGATGCTGACTTGCTTATAACATTCGTCTTCAGAGCAGCTGGCTAGCCCCAGAAACTGACCATTCTAGCAACAACACTACCTTTTCAGCAGGGTGCAGGCCCCATGTCCTAAGTATCTTCCATAAGACCCTACCTCCTAAAGTATCCACCACCTCATGCTACCACCGAAGACCATGCTCTTCAACAGTTCTGCCTTCCTCATTCTGATACACTGAAAAAGATGGTAAAAGTATATCATCCTACAAAACAAGGCCAATATTCATAATCAGAACTAATCTTGGTGACACACTGTAGGAAAGGCCCTGGGCTGGCCTCTTTGGGACACTGTTTTAGACCTAAACACACATCTGTACTTTTAAGGATGGTCACTTGAGCTCAGCCTGGTAAGACACCAAGATTTTGTCAAAAAATAAAATAAAGGCCTGATGAATTGAGTAGAATTTTACCCAAGGAGCTGGCCTTTATGAAAGTACAGATTACAGATATAAGACAACCTGTGTAGAAATTCCCTTCTAAAGGAAAGAATCAATGTGTTGGGGGTTCTGAATAGGAAAATAATGTATTGGGACTTTAAAGAGCAATCCTTGGAGGCAGTGGCTCTTGGGCTGGGTAGAAGGGACAGGCTTGGTGGAGAGCAGCAAAAATAAAATGCAAAGCCCAAATGGATGAAAAAGTATTAGAATGGATGTCAGAATATGTGCATGGAATTGTGGAAAAGAAAGGAAGAAAGGCTACAAGATGGCTCAGCAGGTAAAGACACTTACAGTCAAGACTGACCACTGATTTCAATCCACAGGATCCACAGGACAGAAGGGGAGAACTGAGTCCTGCAAATTATCCTCTGGCTTCCACACAGACACCATGGCATGCTCATACCCCCTGGCCCACAAAATTAATATACATGTATATTAATATATGTAATGCATATATAACATAATAATATATAATAAAAGATTTTAGAATGACTACAAGGGCCAGATTCTGTAGAACTAGTCATATCAGGTAAATAGGCAACAGGCTGGTGGGGAAAGGTGGAAACAGACTCTTATTCACTGGGCTATACCCTTAGGGGAAAAGTCATTATTTATTAAAATCCTTGGATATCCACAACCTCTGGGGATTAGGATTTTACTTGTAGGTATGTTTACTAAAAAACATAAGGATGCTTACCAAAACATTGGTAACTGTAGAAAATCCAGACACCGAACTATAGTGACTGGAGAAATGGCTCAGTAGCTAAGAGTGCTTGCTGCTCTTGTCAAGGACCAGAGTTCAAGTCTCAGCACACACATCAGGTGGTCACAAGTGCCTGTAACTCCAGCTCCAGGGGATCCAGTGCCCTGTTCTGGCTTCTGTGGGCCCCAGCACACACATGCACAGACATAATTGCAGGCATACACAATCAACAAAAAGTAAAATAAATATTTTTTAAAAAGAAGCAAAAATATCTAACCATAGAGACTCATTTACGATTCAGGGGACGTAGGGAAATGTTCATGTTATTTTTAATTGTCACAATGTCTGGGGACTTCTCTGGCATTTAGTGGGTGGAATCTGAGATAAGTGTCTTTGGTGTATAAGACAGCCTCCTACAATGAAGAATTACTGGACTCAAAATGTCAATGGGGCCAAGGTGAAAAATCCTTGCTTTAGAAGATGGTGCCACAACACAGAATACTCTACAGTCATTACAGGGAAGGAGAAGTACCTTTGAAAGACATTCATGATATCCAGCAAAGAAGGAAAAGGCATGCTACAGTATGGCATATGGAAGTATTCTAAAAACCTTTAAGTATGCAAAAAATCATTTTTATTTTCTTTTTTGTCTTTCTATATTTTATAAAGTTCAGTAGTCAAGAACATGTAAAACTTATAAATAAAAACAACAAAAAATGCTGAACACCAACAGTGTTCCAGACAGCCCTGGGAACAAACCCTGATAGGTCCCTGCCCTCATGAAGCTCCCAGTCTAGTGATGGAAGGACATGGGGCTCTAGAGAGGAGGACATGGGAGAAAAGCCGAGAGAATTTCTGGGAAGAATAAATGCAATAAAGGAAATGAAATAAATACAACAAAGGAAATGAAATGGGATGGCAGGCAGGAAATGGGGGAAGGAGGCGTGGTGCTTCCTTGGGCTAAGATAACAAGAAACGATGAGTGATAATAAAACCATATCACCTGCAGAGTTCATGAACCTTGGAAAGAGTGAGCAGGATGCTCAGGTGAATTATGGCATCTGGTTTAGAGAAGTTCAGATGGTCACATGGACTATCAGAGTAAGGAACACCCTTTTCTTCCCCCCTTTAAAAAAGTATATACAAGTAAATTGTGACTTGTTTACCCCATTAAGAGAATGCTGAGGAGCACTAAGGATTAATGAACTAACATCATACATGGGAATAGAGACGCAAATCACAAACATGCTGAACTGAGAATTTTGCAAAGCTAACCTGCGCAGAAGTCATGGTTGGGTGGAGAGGGGTACCTTTGTACATAGTACTAAATGGATACAATGCTCCCAAGAATTTATTACACTTTGCAGCAAAGGAAGTAATCCACTTTACAATAAAGTCCCTTTACAAAGGTCAAAGGGCCAGCAACTATCTGTAATCATACATTCCATGGTATTTACGAGGCACTGTTCACAGCATAGGGCTGTTGCAGAACCTAAAATAAGGTTCACCCAGAAAGACAGAGCTCTTACCTACCTCCTTTTGTGCAGGAGAGGCACGTCAAGGAGAATTCTGGTGTTTCTAGATTCTCTGGAGTTGATAGCCTGTTGATAGGCTGTGGGGTGCATTTCTGATGAACAAGCTAAGGAGGCACAGGCTAGAAAGAGCACACATTAAGGCACCAGGAGAAAGATCACGTTGATAGGCTTCTAAAGGTCGGCCTCTCTGGAATGAGCAGATGTTAACCAGAGGTTACTGCTGAGCAATAGGATCACTTGTGTTTTAACTGTCCTTTTTGCAGCACTTTCTACAGAAAGCATGTATTATTTTTATAATAAAAGTACAACTGTGGAAGGTGTGGTTTTTTAAAAAACAAGGGCCCTTAGAATTCTAAAATTAGAACATCATTGAAATCCAAACCCAAGAAAGACTTACGTGCAGAAATTATGAAATCAGGACCAAGAGGTGATTAGATCACGATATACCTGTATACACTGATACAGCATCCTGGCCGCAACCATGCCAACTGAAGCCCCATACTTGGGAGGGTTAGGGAAAGAGGGAATGAGTGTGGTGTGGTTAGCTTTGCCTGTCAAATCGACACAACATAGAACCACCTGGGAAGACTGTCTCGACAAAGGGTTGTCTACATTGGATTGGCCTGTGCGCATGTCTCTTGGGGATTGTCTTAATTAAGATAATTGATGCAGAAGACAGCCTATTTTGGACAACACTACACCCTAGGCAGGGGTTCTGAACTGGAGGAGAATGTGTAAATCCAGCACAAGCAAGCAAGGAGTCATTCACACACTTGTTCTCTCTCTGCTCTTAATTGTGGATGTGATGTGACCAGCTGCCTCAAACTCCTGCTGCCATGACCCGCTCCCACATGATGAACGATAACCTGAAACTGTGAACTTAAACACACCCCTTTCCCCCTAAGTTGCTGTTTTTCAAGAGTGGAAGGTTCCTGTTGGGGGAAGGAGTCAGGAGGTTTGCAGGTAGCTGTTGTCAAAGCTCAACCCTTCCTTCGTGGATGACTGTAGATAGACTTCTCAGCCATTCCAACTAACCAAGAAGCCAAACCAATCTCCTAAGTAGTAACTGTCAGGCATGGGTGTCACAGGTCCAAAGGAAGCCACCGAGGCAGAGAGGACACATTTACAGGTAGGTAGTAGGCTGCTCCCAGCTACCTGTGGCATCCTCTGTCTGAGTGCTATGCAGTTGGGTGTCTTATCTAAGATCTTATCAGGGAGAAAAGAATCCACTCTGTTTTCTCTCCCAGGGCCCAGTGGCATCTGGATCATGCTGATCCTTGTAATTCGTATTCTGGGGAAGTGTTAATGACTTAATCCCTCCACTTGCTCCTGCTCCCTTGTGGCCTTCTCAGTGAGAGTCACAGACAAGACCCAGTGAAGTCCAGACTGAATCAGAGCATATTGAACTCATTTTGCTGGGAAACGGCTCTGAAAAGTCCTGAGCCTGAACCCCTCCCCTTGGAAGCAGCTGGAGGGAGTCCCAGCCATGGGTGAGGTAACAGCAGAGGAGGTAGAAAAATTCTTGGACTCAAATATTGGCTTTGCCAAACAATACTATAATTTTCACTACCGGGGGAAGGTCATCTCAGACCTCCTTGGGGCCAAGGAAGCAGCGGTAGACTTCAGCAACTACCACACTGTGAATAGCGTGGAGGAGAGTGAAATCATCTTTGACCTTCTGCGTGACTTTCAGGAGAATTTACAGGCTGAGAAATGCACATTCAACGTCATGAAGAAACTCTGCTTCCTCCTGCGGGCTGACCGCATGAGTCTGTTCATGTACAGGACCCGCAATGGCATTGCAGAGCTGGCCACCAGGCTCTTCAATGTCCACAAGGATGCCGTCCTGGAGGACTGCTTGGTGATGCCGGACTCCGAGATCGTCTTCCCTCTGGACATGGGTGTCGTGGGCCATGTCGCACACTCCAAAAAGATTGCCAATGTCCCTAACACAGAAGAGGTAAAGAGAAACTGTGGGGTGCACCGCTCCCTGGGGTTCTGGGGTCCAAGTGGGCTGGGTTGTTGCTGGTCATCAAGCCTGGGCTAGTCATGGCATGACACCACTCACTATTTATTGACAATACTTAGAACTTTTCATTTAGAAAAAATATTCAAAACTAGCAGGAGTTGGAAATACTACAAAGAACTGCATGCCTTTTTTCATTCATATTCACCAATTATTAACTTGTTGTCGCATCTGCTTCTCTCTCTATTTCTGTGGCCTGTTAGAAGGAATTTTCAGGCATGCCCTTTTGCCCACACAGCCTGCATTCTGTATTTCTAGAACAGGACATTTCCTCCATAGCCACAGTACAGTGGTGGAATTTGGGGAGCACAACACCCATGTAACACACTCATATTCAGTTCATATTCAGTGTTTCCTAGATGTCTCATGTACACTGATGTAATTCTGTCTCTTTAGTTCACTCCCATATGAGACCACTCCTCAGTCTGTCTTTGTTTTCTGGAAAGTTGGTGTATTTGAAGAAACATTTTTTTGCCAAATCAGACAAATGGAAACATCCTTCCATTTTGACGTATCTAATCCCTCCTACCATCATGCATTTGTTAGGGTGTTTGTTAGATTAAGTTTATCATACTCTGGAGGAGGAGACAGACAGACACACTGAGTGACTGACTCATTTGGCATCCAAGGCTGGCCCAGAAGTTTCCCATGTAGCCCAGAATGGCCTCAAACTCTTGGCAATCTCCTTGTCTCAGCTCCCCAAGTGACAGGATTATAGACATGAGCCACCATGCCTGACTGTCTGATATGCCTTCACAATTAGATTGGGTTTCACATTTTCACAGAAGCATCACTCAGGTAATATTGGTTTTCTTCATGTTTGATATTAGGAGACATGGGAGCTGATTGCCCTGTTACTCAAAGTGCTAACAGTGATTATCTAATCATTCTAAAATTCCAGAAGTCTAGAGGGTCATTGATAGTTCTAAGCCAGCATGAACTACAAGGTCTAGTCACAGGTCTACTTGGGCTAGAGAGAGCCTCTGCCTCAAGAACCCAACCCAAAGCAGGCCAACCAAATCCTGGGCTCACGGAATTCTCCTGGCAGTTCTGACAAAGATCCCCGTGAGCCCGTCAATCTCCCTGCTGGATGTTAACTTTGATGACTCTAAAGCAGTTCCACTTAGTCTCCTGCCCAAGTCAACTCCAAACACCCTTCAGATCTCAGTTCAACAGTCACTTCTCCCTGAAGTGATTGGACAAGGTGAGCTCTAGCATCGGGACCTTATTTACTAGGTATTTATCCTGGAGTTCTGCACAGTATCAGGCACAAAGCAAGTGGTTAATAAACATAGCTTTCATTTTGCAGTGAAATCTAATCTCTAGATTCCAGGGCCACATAAGCCCCCATTTACTAGTACACTAGCCATACCAAGATATCAAGTTAACCATTTCCAAGGTCCAGCTCCTGGACATTTTGTGTCATTCATTTTTGTTTGGTCAGTTGTTTTGAGACAGGGTCTCGTTGTGTGGTCCTGGCTGGCCTAGAACTCACTTTGTAGTAGACCAGGATGGCCTTGAACTCACAGGAATTCTTTTGCCTCCATGTGCTATATGCCTGGTTTCCTGTACATTTTGTGATTTTGTCTTCATCTTGCTTCTGTGTTTATTTCAGATAAATAGACTTACGGTTATAAAGGGAAGAGGAAGGGTTGGAAAGATAACCCAGTCAGCAAGGTGCTTGCTGGGCAGATGTGAGAACCAAAGTTCAAGCCCTAGAACCCACATTAAAAAAAAGCCAACCTCTCTGGCATATACCTGTAATCCCAGAGCTAGGGAGATAAAGACAGACAACCTGGGGTTTGATGCAACCTAACCTAGCTAAATCAATGAATTCTAGGCCAACGAGAGACTCTTTCTCAAAACACAAGGTGGACAGCAATCTAAGGAATGGCACCCAAGGTTGACCTCTGCCCCCCACATGCAAGTGTACATAAGTATACCACACACACACACACACACACACACACACACACACACACACACACACCTCCATATCTGGAGGTCTTGAGAGAAATTTGCCCAAGGTCACCAAAGCATTAAGTCCAATCTAACACAAAAATTCAAAGGGGTAATCAAACAGTGACTACCCGACCCTTTTCCTAAAAGTCTAGCAGTTTAGAGAATGACTGAGAGTTCTAAGTCAGCCTGAGTCAAATCTCAGGCCAGCCTGAGCTTCAGAGACCAGCTCTGTGGAAAACTCTAGTTAGGCAGACTGCCATGGGGTTAACACCTTCCTGTATGCCCACTTGGTGTCCAGGACTAGGGCTATGGGAGTAGTGAAGAGTCTTGCTGGACACAATTTCTTGTCACTTCCCTCTAAACTTCGATGACACTCTCCCAATGACTGTGAAGACACAGTCTTGTGTAATAGCTCTCACTATCTTGTGAGTAAGATGCTGACATGGACACTCTTGCTCAGGGCCACACAGATGAAAGTACAGATGGAATTTAAGCCCAGGCACTGTGGCCTTCAGTCCATGCTCTTAACCCTCACTACTCCATACTTCTCCTTTTCTGTAATTGAGGTCATGGAATAGAGTGCTATTTAAGAAAGATCATTTCTAAGACTGAACTAGACTCCCTTAATACAGGTGACAGTGGTGTGACTGGGTCAATATATGAGGTCACTGGCAGTGGGTCCAAGATCTGACACTAATGCACAGACTGACTTAGTGGAGCCCATTCTATATGGAGGGATACCTTACCCAGTCTAGACATAGGGGTTGAGGATAGAGTGTGCCCTGGTCCTGCCTCAACTAGATAATGGGACAGACTTAGTGGACTTCCTAGGGGGGGCCGATGGGAGGAGGGGGGGAGTGGGGAGAGTGAGAGAAGAGGAGGAAGGAGAACTAGGATTGGCATGTAAATAATAATAACAATAATAATAATAAAGATTCTTTCTAGTCAGATTTCAAGGGTTAGAACCTGATACCTTGAAGTCAGAGCTGGGTACAAATCTTGTCACTTCCTAAGAATATAACCTTGGCAAGTCATTTAGCCTGCTTGGGCTCACTATTTAATTTATAAACCATTGACAGTACCTTGTCTCTGCCTCCTATATGCTGGGATTGCAGATGGGCTGCCACACCTACCCTGTTTTTACATGGATTCTGGGACCATGAATTCTGGTCCTAGATTTGTAGGATTACTGTTTTATCCATTGAACTATTTCCCCATTCTTCTGGCACAAGGCCTACATGGGCAGTTCTTGTTCCTTAATTTCAATGCCATTACCTTTAGTAAAGAGCTATTCTAAGTAACAGATCCATACCACATCTGTGTGTACTATGGAAAAGATCCTAACCTTGTCTTTCTGTGTAGTCTTCCTTTAAGATTATTTTAGTCTCTGGAAGTGTTGAGCTCTGCCTAGACCTTGGTGTTGTGGAACGAGGGGTTTGGGAAGATCCTCTGATTCCAGAAGATCCAGGTCTAACAGTGTGATGAACTTCTATGAAGATCTATTATTTCTGAAGATTCAGCCTCACAGCCACACCCGTACTTTCCCAGAAGCCGTTGAGTCTAGGGTGGTGTCCCTGGCTGTGGGTGACTCAGGCCTGCATGGAGGTTCAGTGGAGACCCGGAAGTCCTGAGTGTTCAGTATTTGCATATTGCTTGCTTGTTCTACTTGGGAAAACCTCACTCAATTCCAGGCTCTCGGATGAACATGATCCTACTAATAGCAACTAGAAGTTGAGTGGACTGGGAGAAGATGGTGTGGACTGGGATCTGAGTTGTCTCTGAACCTCTTAGAGTTATATTTTGAGCCTTCATTGTCCTAAAAAGTCTGGGAATGGTTTCAATGAACAGCATCGGAAACTACAAAGTTCCCCAGGCTCTCCTACACGTCTGCATCCCTGCTCACCCTTCTGCTGTTCTTAAAAGAGGTGAGATCAGCATTGCCAACTAGAATGGAAGGTGATCTGCTAAGTTTGGATTTAAATAAACAAGGAGTGATGCTCTAGTATAAGCACGTCCCGTTAAATACTTAAAATATGCTCACAAGTAAAAATAATTATTATCCACTTGAAATTCAGATTTACCTTGGTATCCTGTTTCTGTTGATATCATTAATCTGTAGTGGTCAGGTAAGATGCAGATAGTTATTTCCATTTTCTTGTATCTGCTGAGACTTGCTTTGTGGTCCAGTGTGCGGTCAAATCTGGAGAAAGCTCCATGAAGTGCAGAGAAGGTGTGTTCTTTTGTATTTGGTTAAAACGTTCTGCAAATATCTGTTAGGTCTATTTGGAGTTTATGTCAGTTAGCTCCAGCATTTCTCTGTTTAGTTTTTGTCTGGATGACTTGTCTACTGGTGAGAGTGGGATATTGAAGTCTCCCACCCTTGAGGTGTCTGTCTCCATCTCTCTTCTTTGCTGCTTGTCCCTGCTCTTTGGCCAGTGCCTGGGGTAGGGTAGGGTACTCACTCACTTACTGAGTGAATGAATAAGGGGCAACCCTTCTTCAGCACAGACCAAGTCCATCTATGAAGGCTCAGCCCGTGACAGGTGAGCCTGGAAGGACTGTCAGAGCTGAGAGAGCTGTTGCCTGGAGCCTCTCAGGTGTAGTCTCCCTCTGTTCTCTCCTCTCTGGAGTCTTGAAACTTGGCACTTTAGACAGGGGAAACACCTCAGCCATCACTCTGATGTCACTGCAGTGGAGACTCAGGCAGTGTACTAGGTAGCCATTGAAGTCAATCATGGACAAGCTTCTCCATCTTTGGGGCCCATTCCATTGTCAGGTATGGACTCACACTGTGGTTAGAACTGGAGGTTTGTGTTTAACATGACATCCCATCATGCTAGAGCAACCTCGTGTTACTGGCTATCTTAGCTCCTTTTCCTGTTGTGACAAAATACCCTGACAAGAGCAACCTGAAGGAGGAAGGGTTTGTACTCTCTCACGGTTTGAGGGAAGTCATGGCAGAAGTTTGAAGCAGCTGGTCACACCACATACACAGTTGTGAAGCAGAGAATGATAAATGCATGTTTGCTCCTTCTCTACTTACGCAGTCCAGGATCCTAGCCAGAAAACAGTGCCACCCACAGTGGACAGGTCTTCCCATCTTAATTAGCAATAAAGATAATTGATAATTAAGCAATAAATCCCCACAGGTCTTGACATATCCCATGTCTGACACGGAGCCAAGTCTCAGTAAATACAAATGAATGAAGAATGAATCAACCAATAATCAACAGCTAGGGAATGGGCTGATCAGCTGCACTACTCGTCAGCAAGGCATTTGTGCACAAATGAGAAAGGACAGCCCCGTAGCTCTGTTTGGCAGGGCTGATGTGACTTCATTCCATAATGTATGTAAGTCGTCTGGCTCTGAGCATAGCACATCCTTGTTATTCAGTAAGTAATGGACCCCACCGTGGGGTCCAACCAGACCAGAACTGTGAGTGTTTGAAAGGGGGAGCTGGGGAATAGGGAATGAGAAGCACAATTGCATTGTACTTTAAATCTAGGCATGGTGATGTATACCCCAAATCCCAGCACTCAGGAGGCCAACACAGGAAGGAAGAAGGTGGGTTTCAGACTGTATTGGGCTATGCAGTAAGCTGTAAGCCAGTTGAAGATATGTAGAAACTCTGCTGCACAATAAAGAAGAGAATGAATGAATGAATGGGTAAACACTGAGACTCACATCTCCGGCTTTGTGTCCCCCGTCCTTCCCTTCTCTCCCAGTGTTTCAAATGCACAGATCTTTCCTTTCTTCGAGTCTTCCAAGCCCATTCCCACCTCCCGGACTCTGTGGTCATTATGTCCCTCCTTGGAAGGAATGCAGTCCCTCTGCCTTGGGCTCCCAGCTCAGGACTGTGTCTCCAGAGGGGACTTCCAGACTCCCATTCAAACCCAAGCAGCTTCAGTCTGCCGCCTCTCCCCTCACTGTTAACGTATTTCTGGTTTGTTTCCTTCAGAGCAGATCATCTCAGACTGCAGGGAAAATGCTGAACCATTCTTTTTTTCTGTCCTCTCTATTTTGCTGTGTGTTTTCTCTTGTTCTCTGCTGTAGCCCCTGGGGTCACAGCGGTGCCTCACACAGAAAAGCATCCTATCAATTCTGAGTAAATGAATGATGACACTGGGCCTTCCTTAGCCATGTCTTGTGTTCCAGGACTTTAAAGTCAATGGTTTGGTGCTGAAGAGGTGAATTAATAGGTAATATAACTTGCTGTAGAAATGTGGAGACTTGAGTTCAAATCCCCAGCATGCACACGTGCATACACACACACATACACACACATACACACATACACACACACCCTTCACTCGTGTATGGCGATCCATGCCTACAACCTCAGCACTGGGAGACTGAGACAGGCATATCCCTAGAGTGCCTCTCTCTCAACCCCATGCATTATAACACACACACACACACACACACACACACACACACACACACGCATGCACACACGCAAGCACAGAAAGAAAACATTAGAATAAGCTTTTTGAGTGGAAATGTCTCCAAAATCTTCTGGTCCGCTGAGGTCCTATGCTGTGGCTGTTTGTGGGTATTTATCGTGGTGTGGATACAGGGATGGCAGTCACTTGGGGGCTGGAGTGTTGGGGAGGTGTTCCTTGGCTGAGAACTCAGTCCGTGTGATAGTTAATTTGGAACTTGACTCACCTCAGAGACAGACCTGTGGACTCTAACTGTGGGAAATATCGCTTTCTTGGGCTGAGAGCCCAGACAGTACAGAGGGAGAAAGCCTTTTGCTCCTCACTGCTTGCTACAATGTAGCTGGTTGTTCATACTCCTGTCAGCACACCTTCCTGGACATGGTAGACTGTACCCCCTCAAACCAGGAGCTGAAATAAGCCTTTCTCCACGAAGTTGCGTTTGTCAGGTATTTGAACAGAACAATGTGGAAAGTGACTAATCCACTGGAAAAGAGGGTTCTGGTAGATGTAGAGACATCTGCCTCAGAGGCAGACGAGGTCCAAGTACTGGCTGCCCTGGATGAAGGTAAACATTGTAAAGCTGAAGTCACTGAAATGAATCTGAGCATGCCCGGCCCTGAGCTGTGCTCAGACACTCAACTGTGTCCTCTGAGAATGACACAGAAAACCCTCCTTGGCTGCCGCTGTCTTCCAGCATTTTTTAATCCTCAACTGCTAATTCAAGTGGAGCATGACTAGCTTATCATAATTCCTTTACCCTTCATCTGTTTGAGCCAACTTCAGTGACCTTATGTCATTGTCTATTTGTTTAATCTCCATCTACCTGGAAAGAAATCCCGACATACAGAACATCACACCAGGAATATGAGCTGTAGGGAAAATTCTGCCTCTTTAGTTCCAGAGGAGGTCAATGGGTTGGCTGTGTGGATGAATCGCCCCCCTCAGAACAGTGTGCGCAATGCATGTTTGCATTGGCTCATGTCCCGTGGGACATGGCAGTTAGGAAATTTACCGCGGTGCTGGCGACGGAGAAGTGGATTCTCCCGGCTCTAGACAATCCAGCCTCTGTCTCCTCTTCCTGGCCTTGTAGCCTGCATCAAAGCCTCCAAAGACCTGCCAGGCTGCCTTTGGGGTTGGGAGTCAGGGTGTGTGAACCTCTGCATTCTACAGTTTTCAGCTAAGCCCTTAGGGCCTGTATTAACTTCTTCTGTGCTACTGTGACCAAATACCTAACAGAAGCAACAGAAGGAGGCCGTCTGGATGGTCCAGTGGCAACATGAGTTTGATCCCCAGAAGCCAAGTGAAGGTGGAAAGAGAGACTACTCCCCAAAGCTCTCCTCGGATTGCCACACTGGCACGTGTCTCTCACTATAAACATCATGCCTCTCCTATAATAATAACAAACAATGTTTTTATTTAAAGGAAAGGAAGATTGCTTTGGCTCATGGTTTGGAGCTAGAAGCCCATCATGGGGAAGGTGTAAAGGAGCAGGGCAGGTCATATGGCAGCTTTCTCCACTCCTCTGCTAACTCCAGCTGGTCCACCAGCCTATGGGATGGTGTCACCCACATGCAGGGCTGATCTCCCCACTTTAGTGATCCTCTCTGGAAGGTCACACACACACACACACACACACACACACGCACGCACGCACGCACGCACGCACGCACGCACGCACGCCCAGACGTTTGCTTCATTAGTCTCCTAGGAACTTCTCAACCCAATCAAGATGGCAGTCAAAGTTACGGTTAGTGGTTCCTCACTGAGATACAGACGTGACACGTAGCGGAACTTTCATACAGGTTTGTAGGATAGGAATGGCCACTGTAATGGCCATGTAGTCTGTAACTGGCTTGTTATGAACGGTGAAAATATATGCCTATGATTCCAGCACTGGTGGGAGGCTGAAGCCGGGGGATTGAGAGTTCAAGGTTGGCATGGACTATGCAGTGAGACTGTGTGTCCAAATAAATAAAAGAAAAAGACAGGGTGGGGCCTGAGAATCACAAAGCGTTTTGGTTGGTGTGGGGACCCCGTGTAGCTTCGAGGGTGCTGAGGTGAGCAGAGCAGAGCTGAGGACAGGGTCTGCATACTCCCAAGCCGTGTTGACCTTGACTTGGGGATCCCCTTTCTGTGAGACCGGCTATTGGTCCCTCTCTTAGGCAGTTGAGAGGATGAAGATGAAAGCATGAGATGGGGTGCCATGTTTAGTGCCCACTGGCAGTCATCATGGTCATGCCCCTAACTCCCTCACAGTTCCCATTTAAGTTTCTACCCTGGGCATCACTAGCTTGAAGTGTTTGTCCTCCACGGCCCTCTGTGGGCTGCCCCTCAGGCCTTCTTCTTGTGATGGATGTTGGGAGTGTACACGGTGAACACCTCATGAACACCTTCATCCAGCTGTCAGCAGGTGCTCTGAGATGGTCTCCCATCCTTGTATTCACTTGCCTCCCTGTGCTTGTCTCTGCCTTCTTTCAGGATGAACATTTCTGTGACTTTGTGGACGAACTCACAGAGTATCAGACCAAGAGCATCCTGGCTTCCCCCATCATGAACGGGAAGGACGTGGTAGCCATAATCATGGCTGTGAATAAAATAGACGGGCCCCACTTCACCAAGAGAGATGAAGAGGTAAGACTGCTTGAGATACTGCTGAGGACACCATGCTAAGCCCACGCCTACTGCTCACGGAATTCCCCAACCATTGGCATTTGGCTTGGCTTTAGTCCCTCATATAAAAAACAGGAGGACAAGCCAAGTATGGTAGCCCAAGCCTGTAATTCCAGTATTGAGAAGCTGTGGCAGGAGTATTGTTTCCAGTTTGGTGGTACACACCATACTTATACTTGCATAGACTGGGGTGTATAATGAGTTCTAGGGCTTCGTGTGCTATGGATCAGGTAGACCCTGACTCAAAAACTAAAGGGGGGGGCACGGTATACCTGCTACTCTCTGACTGCCCAGACATTGTATTTAGAGTTAGGAATGAGAGGTGTTTGTTCTGGATCTTCCAAAATCTTCTTGTTTTATTTGGACAAATCACTTACCTTCTCTGAACCTGTTTTGTTTTGTTTTTTAATTTGTAAAGGGGGGTGATTTCACAGTATCTAACTCATAGCAACTTATAATGACCAGGTAACATACATTAGTGGCTTACCACAGAGACACCAAGTTCAATAAATACTAGCTATTTCTATTACTGCAATCTCATTAATAAATCAACAAGCATGGTGAGTTTCCATTCATGGCTCATCTGTGCAAATTGCCTCTGCACAAGTTCTAATGATGGTCAGATATTTGCTTGTGGCAGAAGTAGCCAGGGGAAGCATTTCTTGGTCTCATATGCTGTTCGAATTTGTAGATTCTTCTCAAGTACCTCAACTTTGTGAATCTGATCATGAAGGTATTCCACCTGAGTTACCTGCACAACTGTGAGACTCGGCGTGGCCAGGTGAGTGGCCTGAGCATGCTCAGCTAATGAAGCATTAATGCAGCCAGGGCAGCTGGTGGGAAGGTACCAGGAGCTACTGAGCTGTGTCTGGTGTGAGTGCCCTGTACTAGGAGGCGATGAATACTGATAAAGCTGTATCCCGGAGTGGCTATGCTTGCTCACTAACAAGCTGCCAGACCATAAGCGAGAAGCCTCTCTGATAATGAGGATATGTAGGATGGGCATGGTGGTGCATGCTTGCCATCCTAGCAATCAGGAGGTGGAGGCGAGAGGATCAGAAGTTCAAGGTCAGCCTCTGTGACTTAACTAATTCGAGGCCAGACTGGTCTACATAAGACCCTGTCAAAGCAAAACAAAGCAAAACACGGAGATAATTATATATACCATTCTCAAAAGGGTGTTATCAAAATAAGTAAGATAACATATTAGGGTACTTACACTCAACTTCTTATTATTTTATTGTATGGTTTTTCATTGATAGGGATTGAACTCAAGACCTGTGGTATTTGACCTGCATCCTTAAACCCTGTGCTTAATATATTTTATTAATAAATAAGAAAATGGAAAGAGTTGGACCCAATGCCTCAGTTTTTCCACCTATCAAATAGGGTGAATGAGCCTGTTTCTCTAGGTTATCATGAGCGTTAAATCGAATAAACTAGAAAACTTTGTGGAGTTGTTATTTTCTATCTAAGAAACTTCTGATTATTTTTTTCAACTGTCTTCAGATATTGCTGTGGTCTGGAAGCAAGGTCTTTGAAGAGCTCACGGATATAGAGAGACAGTTCCACAAAGCCCTGTATACAGTCCGTGCTTTCCTCAACTGTGACAGATACTCCGTAGGCCTCTTAGACATGACCAAGCAGAAGGTAAGGAAACTTCGGGAACAGGCCTTTCCAAGAGACACATGGTGATTAAATGCAGTCTAGTCAAGAATTCAACCAGCACAGGACACAGCCTGGGTTAAACTGGATGGCTATGAAAAAGGTTTTACATAAGCAGTAGGGAGACTGTTTGGTCAGTCACATGCTTGCCTCAAAACTGTGAGGACCTGAGTTTGCCCCCGGAACTGATGTAAGAGCATGGGTGCAGAGGTCAGAGGACAACTTTTGGAAATCAGTTCTGTCCTTCCACCCAGGGTTCTGGGGACTGAACTGGGTCATCAGGTTCTTGTGACAAGTGCTTTCACCCTGGTGCCCTCCTGCTGTCCTTGGGAGAGTCCTTTGCAGGTTTCCTCTGCTGTCTCACGGACATCCTCACCAACTTGGTGCTTTCTTTCTCTTAAAAGCATACTTCCATGAGTATAAACTGGAGTCATAGTGTAGTCTAAGGAATCAGTTTTTCTTATGGCTAGTGACTTTTGTGTCCTGTTTAAGAAGTCTTTTTCTAGATTCCAAGATCAGAAAGGTATCTACTTATGCCAGTCATGCAAGTTTTATTTTTATGGGTTTTACATGTAGCTCTACAGTATACCATTTTTTAATGTATACTATGATACAAGATAAATATAACTATTCCATGTGGACACCCAATCAGCCAATTATCTCATCTGGAAAAGTCTCACCCTTCCCCACTGCTCTATCGAAAAGTTCACCTTTTCTCACTATCTCATGGAAAAGCCATCTTCCCTTGGGTTGGTTTCTGGAATCTCTGTTCTGTTGCATTGGTTTATTTCTCTATTATACTACAATGTCATACTGCCTTAAGTTCAGTATGTGTGGACAATATCTTGATGCTCACTTGTGAAAAGATCTCTAGGCTTGGCATTTTATGTTAGAATTCTTCACTGTGTCTTACATTTCTTATACTTTCTCCCTATATTTTCTACCCTTTCATACTTAGGGACTTCAAATTGAGTATTTTTTCTCTCTACCTGCCATGCCTGGCAGAAACTAAGTTCCTGCTTATCTTCTACGTGAAACATGAAGTTCTTCTTAGACAGTGGTTCTCAACCATCCTAATGCTGCAACTCTTCAATACAGTTCCTCTTGTTCTGGTGACCCCCAACTATAAAACTGTTTCTTTGCTACTTCATAACTCTAATTTTGCCACTTCTATGAACCGCAATGTAAATGCTTTTGGAGATAGGAGGTCTGGGAAGGTGGTCGTGACCCATAGGTTGAGAACCCCCTTTCAAGGCCCTGAACTGTGCTGTATGTATCATAAACAAGTGGTGAACGAGACTTGGGTCTCTGGTAGATGCCCAGTTCACATTCTCACCCAGACGAGGATTTCTTTCTACTGTCAGAAATCTAGAAACAAGAGTCCATCTGGACAAAAGGCCGTGGGTGCAGAGTCTGAGCTTCATGTGAACTCCCTTCTGTTTGGCGTCTGGGTGACATTAGCATAAACAAGCCATCAGGACAAGTATGCTAAAAGGAACAAGGCAGAGAGGGTGGCATCTACACACAGCAATGCAGGGCTAACAGGTCACTATTTGTCTCCAAGTGTTAACAGCTCAGTGATCAGAGGGAGCTCTGGACCAGGAAGGCCTTCTCTGTGGCAGAGACTTTGACCTGACACAACCTTTGCATCTCCACAGGCAAAGAACACCAGCAGAGAAGCCACGGGAGGAAGCCTGGGCAGCCCTAGGGGTTTCTCCTCCTGCAAGAAGTCTTCTTTCTAGTTCTTTCTTTTTTCCCTCTTCCTTCTTTTCTTGAGACAAAGTCTCTTGAATCCTAGGCTAATCTTGAATTTGCCGTGTAGCCAAGGATAATCTTGAACTCCTAATCTTCCCTCTCTACCCCCTAAATGCTGGGATTCCAGGCAAGTGCATCTACACTATATTCAGCGCTGGGGTTCAAAGCCAGGGTTTTAGGCCTCTAGGCCAGCTGTCTACCAACTGACCTCCATCCCCAGCCCTCTTTTATCTGTCTTCCTCTTGTGTCTTGGTCCATGGTAAAAAGAAAAGCTTAAGATAAAATAAGTTCAGTAAGAGATGACTCATCACCCAACCAGGAAGCCATCAAGAGTGGTGCTCTACGTGGGCTGTGAACTCTTCCAGGGAGAATGGAATAAAGTACACGAACAGCATAATTGGCTACAGTCATGCATTTGTCTGATTTAGGTGTGATCTGATCAGTTGACTGTCTGTGACTGACTAGAATTTAATTTGTGATAAAAAACGTGTCTCTTAGAGCTGGGGGTGGAGTCTAGGGCCCTGCACATGCTAATGAAGTGCTTTACTTCTGAGCTCCAGCCCAGCCTTTGTTTGTTACAGAGGAGGGACGTGAGTCAGAGTGCAGGAGCTCCACTACTAAGTCAGGCTCAGGTGCAAGATCTGCTTATTGCGTTTAATAGCTTTTAAGATCTTTCGGATTTCTTTTTCACAACACTTTAGCAGTTAAAAGCAGCATTTCTGGAGTTGGCAGTGGCATTTTGTGATGTATTTTGAGACCTCGTGTTTTTCACCACTGCTGTTGTCATGACGCCTTTCCGATTGGCACAGACACAGCTGCAACACAATTATTCAGCTGTGGCCTTGTTGCTCTGCTATGTCTCCTCCAGATGCTTGGATTGTTTTCCATAGAGATCCTACTTTTTAAAAAAGAATTCGTGTGTGTGTGTGTGTGTGTGTGTGTGTGTGTGTGTGTGTGGTTTGTGTATGTTTTGTGTATGTTTCCGTGGGTGTGGGTGTGCACATGCTATCATGTGTGGAGGCAGAGGACATGTTTGGGTGTCAGTCCTCTCCATCCAGATTGACTGAGATAAGGTCTCTTACTGTTTGCTATTGCATGAGACAGGCTGGAGAGCTTCTGGGAATCCCCCTGCCTCCACCTCCCATTTTGCTCCAAGAGTATCAACATTACAGACATGTGCTACTGTGCCCTACTTTACCTGAGATCAAAGGATTCGAACATCCTCACACTTGCAGGGCAAGCACTTTTACCTATTGAGTCATTTCCTCAGCCCCAAGACCTTATTTCCCTAGCTAGTGTCCTACAACACTGGGGACACCCAAACTCAACACCCATATTTTATATTTTGGTTGATTAAACAGATCCTGTTTATCAATGTTTAACAAATATGATTATTCTCTGATTTTGCCCTTCCAGCCAAGCTCAGGTTTCAGTGATCTTTCTGCCTTCAAACTTTAGTGGTAGGCTGGACTTCTCTTTAAAAATGTGTAATTATTAATTTTTTACTCATAGGAATTTTTTGATGTGTGGCCAGTTCTGATGGGTGAGGCTCCAGCCTACTCTGGTCCCAGGACTCCAGATGGAAGGGTAAGTTTCTTTGTGATCTTTTCCATATGCAAGGGTTGGCAGTGTCAGCTGAAGGATATTTATTTGTTGTTTGTATTTATCTTCACTATATTAGGCTGTCTCTCTTGTGTTATGATAAGTCTTCACAACTTTCCGACCCTGTCACATGCAAATGTTTAATATGTTGCTGGAGTTTCGAAGGGATCCGGAGGGACAGGTGGGGCAGGAATCGATAAACAATTCTGCAGACAAGAATGAGTTCAGAGATGTCACACTGCTGGCTCAGGTATCTTCCCAGCAGGAAGTAAGAACCAGTTTGGAACTAGAAAGAGACTTCAGGTCTAATCCAGAATGTTCAAACTGGTAGCCAGAGTCCAGTTCCAACTACTTGATACACTTATTAGCTGCCTGCATTTAAGTTCTTGTTTGCTTGTACTTACAAAAAAAAACCCAAAACAACAACAACAACAAACAACAAAAGCAAAAAACAAAAAAAACTGAACTTGTTTAAATTGATAGTCAAATTTTTTGTAAGGGATCCTCAGTTTTTTTTTTTTAAAAGATTGAAGACTGGGGCTGGAGAGATAGCTCAGTGGTTAAGAACACTGACTGCTCTTCCAGAAGACCCAGATTCAATCCCCAGCACTGGGAGACCTGGGTTCAATTCCCAGTACCTGTATGGTAGTTCACAATTGTCTGTAAATTCAGTTCCAGGGGAGCCAATATTTTCACACAGGCAAAACACCTGTTTTTTATTTGTGTACAACAAATAAAATAAATAAATCTTAAGAAATGAATGGGAAACAAACAGCAACAAAAACCAGGTATTCATTCCTATAATGCCAGCAAAGTGGAGGCAGAGACTGGAGGATCACTGCAAGATCAAGTCCATCCTGGGTTACATAGTGAATTCTAGGCCAGCCTGGACTACACCAAACATAAAAAAATGGCAGTGCAAGCTAAGCCTAGTGACTTAGATCTATAATCTTAAGTATCTACATAAAAGGCTGAGGCAAGAGGGATAGTAAGTTTCAAGGCTATCTGGGCTACACAGTAAGCTTACAGGATATCTGGGCAACATAGAATTCCATTTTAAAATATAAATAAAATGAGGGCTGGAGGTATAGCTCAATGGTAGACTGTTTACCTAGCTTGTGTGAGGTCCTAGGCTCAATCCCTAGTGAGAGAGAGTGGGGGAGGGAGGAAAGGAGAGAGAGAGAGAGAGAGAGAGAGAGAGAGAGAGAGAGAGAGAGAGAGAGAGAGAACATGATTGATGAGTATTTATTTATGGGGACAAAGTGAATGTGGTTGGTCCCATTTTAACTGGACCAAGGTATGAAGTGTTAAAAATTGGTTGATATACCCCATAGTAGAGAATATGTGCTGAAGTCTCTTCAGCTTGAAATTCATTCCAGAGAAGAAATGAATAGAAAGCACTTGGGTCAGACCATCCAGCACTCAGGCAAGTACTGTTTTGGAGTCAAAGATACACTGAAGGCTTGGAAATAGAACTCGGGATATGTTGAGATGTGTTCATCTCTAAGGCACAGGAGGAGAAAAATCTCCAGGGAACGAAACAGACATGAATCTTATTTCACAAAGACCATCCATTGGATATTGTCCTTGAGTTCACCACCAAAGCCAATCCTAGAGGAAACACACACAGATGTGATTTGGGCCCAGACACAGTCACAGGATTGGCCGGGCTTGACCATGTAAAGAAGGTAGGTGTGGGGCTTGTGAGTTAGCTTAGTGGGAAAAGATGTCTGCGGCCACACCCTGATGGTTAGAGTTTGATCTCATTCAGTGGAAGAGAGAATATACTTCCACCAAGTCGTCCTCTGGTGTTCCCTACGTGTACACACACACACACACACACACACACACACACACACACACACACACACAATTCTTAAGTAAGTAGTAATGAAACTACTTTTTTGAGACAGTGTCTCTTTATGTAACTGTGAGTGTCCTGGAACTCTCTGTGAGGACCAGGCTGACCTTGAGCTTGCAGAGATCTGTTTGTCTCTGCCTCCTGAGTGCTATGATTAAAGATATGGGACACTATACCCAGCTCAAAGGTTTTTCTTTAATGAATGTGGGTACAATGGGAAGACACCCGAGTCCTGGTACCAGCTAATCTTGTGGGCTTGGGACGTTTCCAGAATCCCCCTTCCCATCCTGCCATGCGGGAGTAGGCCAGCCTGTCCATAGGACTTAGATCACCAGTGCTGGTCTCCCACTGTGACGTGCAGTAGGCACTCTAGTAGAAAACCAGAGCTGGCCGGTTGCACCTCATAGTCTGCCAGGCACTGTACCAGAACTGTTGTGTTCTTGTGGGCATGTGGTTTGAACCTAGTGCTTTACCACTTCCTTGGCCTTTTTTGCATTTTTAAAAATTGCCTTTATTTTTGAGACAGATTGCATAAGCTGGCCTTCAACTCACACATTTATCTTAGGAGGTGCTGTTGCTCCAGAACTTCCAAGTAGCTGGAATTACAGACTTGCACCAGCAGGCCTGGCTGTCATTTATTCCTTTTAACTATAAACCAGTTACTTTTATTTTCCCATTGGGTGGTTGAGGAGATTAAGATCTGGAAAGGCCAAATCGTTTGTACAAATTTAAAGCCAGGATGCTCTTCTCTGATGGCTGTCATCACAAACATGCCATCTCATGGGTCCCTTTGCCTCCTAATATGACTCATGCTTTATTGGCCAAATTCAAACGCACTTTAAAATTACAGTGTTTAACTTTACCCACCCTTCCTTCAACCCTAGGTCCAAAGCCCTCTAACAGCCAACTATATTTTATTTCATCTCCTTTAGAAAGTAAAATGGCATGTGTGTGTTTAAAGTATGAAAAAGTTGTACAGGCTAATTAGGCCCCATGGAAAAAAAGCAAAACACACTGTTTGTCTTCAAACTGCCATATTCCAAGGCACCAATATTTGGCTGCCACTGTACTGGTGGCGCTTTCAAAGACCCTGTGTCACGGTGCCTGCTGTTCAGCAGAAAGTAACAAAGGTACCCTTGATGGCTCTGGTTTGGTTTTCCAGAACCTGTGAATTCAGACATGAATGTGGCCTTCAGGGCCACACAGCAGCTGCAGTGTGTAGAAAAAGCCCTATTTTGCCTAACACACTGATTCCATTTTGCTGCTTTTTTTTTCTGAAAGCAAACTGATTCTCCAGGAGGCTTCAGGAGAAAAAAAAAACCGACACACTCACCAAACCTAGTAGACATGATAGGAACTTTTCAGAAGTGTCCCACGGCACTATACTGTCAGCTGAGCTGGCAGCCGCAGTGGCCACATGCTCACCTCCTAGGCTCGACAATAGTCAGTGTTGCTCAGCTGGGATGCCTGAGCTGCTTTTCTTCTCTTGTCTTTTTATTTATCCAAAATGGTTTGCATTTTACATACCAACCCCAGTTCCCCCTCTCTCCCCCCTCCTATCCCCCACTTTCTCCCCTTCCCATCCTCCCATCCACTCCTCAGAGGGGGTAAGGCCTTCCTTGGGGAGTCAACAAAGTCTGGCATACCTAGCTGAAGCAGGACCAAGCCCCTCCCCCTGCATTAAGGCTGAGCAAGGCATCCCACCAAAGGGAATGGGCTCCAAAAAGCCAGTTCATGCATCTCGAATAGGTCCTGGTCCCATTGCTAAGCTCCCTCCCACCAACAACAGATCAAGTCACATAACTGTCACCCACATTCAGAGGGTCTAGTTCAGTCCCATGCAGGCTCCCCAGCTGCCAGTCCATAGTCTGTGAGCTCCCACTGGCTCAGGTCAGGTGTCTCTGTGGTTTTCCCCATCACGGTCTTGACCCTCCTTGTTCATATGACCCCTCCCCCCCTCTCTTCAACTGAACTCCAGGAGCTCAGCCCAGTGCATGGCTGTGGGTCACTGCATCTGCTTCCATCAGTGACTGGATGTAGGCTCTGTGGTGACAATTAAGGCAGGCACTAATCTGATTAAAGGGGAAGGCCCGTTTAGCATCCTCTCCACTATTGCTGTGAGTCTTAGCTGGGGTCATTCTGTGGATTCTTGGGTATTTGTCTCCCTAATGTCATAATGGCTCCCTCTCTCAAGTCATCTCTTTCACTGCTCTCCCACTCTGTCCCACCCCCAACCCAGCCTTCTCAATCACTCATGTTCCCATCGCCCTCTCCCTTCTACTCCCTCGTAGTTTACCCAGGAGGTCTTAACTATTTTCTCTTCCCGCGGTCCTCCATGTGTGTCCCTCTTAGGTCCCCCTTTTTACCTAGCTTCTCTGGGGTTGTGGATTGTAGCCCGGTTACCCTTTGCTTTACATTCAATTTATCCGCTTATGAGTGAGTACATACCTGTTTGTCACTCAGGATGATTTTTTCTCTAGTTCCATGTATTTGCCTACAAATTTCATGATGTCATTCTTTTTTACAGATGAATAATACTCCACTGTGTCTTTTTTTTTTTAAGACAAGGTCTTACTCTGTAACTCAGGCTAGCCCAGAACTTACTATGTAGCCCATGCTGGCCTCTAACTTGTAGTGACCCTCCTGTCTCTGTTTCCTGACTGTTGGGATTACAGGTGTGACCACTACAGTTACCTGGCCCAGAGTCTCTTAATATAGCTCAGGTGGGCCTGGAACTCACAGTCTTGCCTCAGCCTCCGAAAGTGTTAGGATTACTGACATGAGCCACTATGCCCAGTGTTTTACAGTATTTCAACTTACAATGGGTTTGTGGGGCTGTAACCCACGGCGCATGGAGATGTGTGCTGTATTTGTTTAATCACTTTCCCAGTGACAGTTGTAATCAGGTGTGGCCTGCTCAAAGTTCTTCCGTGCTGTAGAAAATAGTACCTTCAGACTGTGCCTTGCCCTGAGTGATTCCTTCTTATAAAACAGCACTAGGTTCCACTTCGAGTGAAAGTGCTGATTAAGAATGATTTGGTCTGTCATTTATGCAAGTAAACAGCCACCATCTGTCCAGTGCCAACCACAAGGCAGGCTGATAACTCATTTATACAAAGAAAGTATGACTCCCTCTGAATGCATCATACTAAATAAGGAACATGTGGATATATCATCAAAACTGTATCAGAGCCCAGGCCACACATATCTTTGAGCCCAACACTCTGGAGGCAAAGGCAGAGGCAGAGGACCAACCTGGTCTACATAGTGAGTTCCAGGCTATCCAACTCTACACAGTGAAAGTCTGTCTCAAAAAGCCAAAATCAAAACAAAATGGTATCCGAAAAAACCAGACCTGTGAGCCCACTGAACACATAAGATCAATGAATGAATGAATGAGTGAATGATACAACTCTGTACTTGGATCATAGAAAAATAAGGGGCACCTAATGCTGGGTACAGCAGCATTCCCCAGTCCCCTTCATCAGACCATCCTGTTCATGAGACCACCTGTGCATGAGTCACGGATCAATAAGTACTGAGCTCTCAACTCTACTATAACATGCTTTACACACACACACACACACATTCACAAAGTGTAATACATAATCTGAGAGTTAATATTTGTATTTAAGATTGGATTGAAAAAACACAGGACTGCCAAAAGCCACAAATGCCAAGTGAAATCAATAGTAATTGGTGAATTTAAGCCACTGAAACTGACATAGTTGTGAACTTGTTGTTATTCAGTAAAATCTGACGCCACAGAAGGACATAGGCATGTTGATCTATGCTTCTGCCGTAACTTGCTCACAGAGTAGGTTTGGAGTTGTTGCAAGGCCTTTTGAGGTAAAGTGGCTGAAGTTTGTGGATGTGACAGGCATCCTTGAGAACAAGTCTGTAGGATGTGTTGCCATACATGGAAATGCTGAGTCAGAGAATATGAGCATTTTGGTCCTAGAGCCATCCTGCTAACTCTCTACCCACAACTGAAAATCATAGGTAGGATAGGGTAGCAATAAGACTTAAATCATAGGTAGAGTGGGGTATTAATAAGATTAAAGTCACAGATAGGATGGTGTATCAGTAAGATTTTTGTTGCTGTAGCAGATATTGAGACAAGAATGAAGTTTATAGGGTGAGCCTGGCAGAGTTCTCTGTAGCTCCATTTCTTTGACTGGTGGAGAGTGACATCCTTCTGTAGCTTTGGGAGTCAGAGTCAAGATCCAGACTCCTGAGGCAGGTAGTGCTGCGTGCCTGTAATTCTAGCATTTGGGAGGTCAAGGCAAGAAGCTTAAGGTACATTGGCTTCATGTCAAGTTTGAGGCTGTCTAGAAAGGGCTACATGAAACCTAACCAGCAGAGCTGGTAAGATGGCTCAGCAGGCAATGGCACACGTCACGAAGATTGATGACCTGAGTTTGATCCCTGGGTCCTGCATCATGGGAAGAAAAAAACATCAAATCCTACAAGCTGTCCTCTGATCTCCACTCCTTTGCTGTGATGGATGGGTGCACAGGAGTCTGCACACACACGCCTGCCTGCCTGCACACACACACACACACACACACACACACACACCACCACCACCACCACCACCAACAACAACAACAACAACAAAACCTCCCAAGGGGCTGGAGAGATGGCTCAGTGGTTACTTCCTATTACTTCCTATGCAGCCATGACCGGGAGGCAGGCAGAAAGAATGAGAATCTTTTGGGTTTAATGGTAGGGCTGCCATGCCTCAAAGGCATGTAAGGTGGAAGGTGGTGGAGGAAGACACTGAAAATATTCTTCTTGCCTTCCCATACCCACAAAACTTCACACACATGCCAGCACAAACCTGTGCACACACACACACACACCCACACACACATACACAACCCAAACAAGTCATCCAGCCTCTTGCATTTCATCTATCACACTAATAGCTGAGGGAGAGACACAAGTGTGGCATCGATGCTTCTTAGTAAGTGCAGCTAAGTGTCTGTTTCAGTAACAACTAGTCTGCGGGTTGGCAACAGCCAAGTGGTCATTGCCTGAGTGGCTGCACCCCAGGCAACAGAGATAGAGATACTGCAGAGCCATTTTATGCTTCTATCCCTAAATCATATAGCTAAAGGGTCCCTAGGCTAGAAATCAAGGCCCCTGCTGACTCATTGAATTGTCTCACTCTACTTCTCCTGCGTCTCAGTTCTCATCTATGAGATGGTTGCTAAGCTGCCCATCCCTCTTAGGCATACAGAGGACCTGATAAGATAATAGAATTTTCCATAGAGAGCGAGAGGAATGGAGCCACCTGCCAGCTGGTTCTGTGAAGGTCTATGACCTCCTATGACCCTCTTTGAAGGTCAGCCAAGAACAGTGAGTGCTGGAAGGCAGCAGAGCTGATCTTAGGGGGGAGCTGGGAGCAAGTTTGTTGCCCCTGAAAAGCAGGAGCAGATAACAGTGAAGGATAGGGTATGGGTACCTCGTCTTAGGCATAGGTAAATTTTGTGTGCTCTTTTCCCTGGTTTGCTGTTGTTGTTTGTTTGTTTTAAGGAATAGAGAAGAAAGAATCAGACTAGTTTCATGGGGCACCTCTGTTGAAGATCTGCCATCAGTGTGTAATTTTCCTCTTTTGCCAGGAAATTAACTTTTACAAGGTCATTGACTACATCCTGCATGGCAAAGAAGACATCAAAGTAATCCCGTAAGTTTCATCTCCAGACGTGAAAAGCTTCAGGCATATTTCCAACACCTTAAATCTGTGACTCCTAAAACTCTTATCAAACCCTGAACATCCATGTCCTTGATTGGGGGCAGAGAGAGCAGGGGAGTGGAGAGAAACAGTAGAGACTTACAAGGTGATGGAACCCGGTCTCCCAAGGGGAAGAGCTTGATCAAAGACAAGCATGCTGGGTTCTGTATCAGGAGGAGTCCAACTCCCTCCAGTAGGAGCCTGTGTTAACAATCAGCCTCAGCACCGCCTCCCCCACTTAAGAAAAAGATGATGGTCTCAAACTGGGGCTTCCAGCCACTTCTGTGGAGCCTCTTCTGTGGTCCAAGCAAGAAGCTGGGAAAGAGAGTGATGCAGGCCTCGAGGAACACTGTATCTACAGAAGGACAGGGAAGGAAGGCTGCTAAGGGTGCCTACAGAAGACAATTTTAGGAGAAGAGGAGTCACAACTCCTTTTGGGATAAGCTGTTTTGGTCAGAAGAATGTTCAAGAAAACTTGTCTCCCAGAACCCCTCCTTGTACCAAGAGCCACTCCCAAAACTCTTCTGAGAGACAGGTTCACTTTCTCCCTTATTGAAGGCTCCTTTTTTTTTTTTTTTTTTTTTTGAGACAGGGTTTCTCTGTGTAACTTTGTAGACCAGGCTGGCCTCCCAAGTGCTGGGATTAAAACCTGTGCCACTATCGCTGCCTGACTCGAAGGCTCCTTAGTCTGCAATAGGTGAGAGGGCCACACTTTTAGCTGCTGTCCCCTCCCTGGAAAGCCAGAAAGCTGAAGGGATTTAGTATGTGTTGCCCTAATCCCTAAACAGTGGAGATAACTGGAAATGCCGACTCAGACTTGGTCAGCAGGTCAAATTCTAAAATACTCCTCTGTCACTCAGAGAAGCAGTTCTCAGGTCTGTCTTTGCTAGTCAAGGATGAGAAAGCGTCTCACATTCCCCTCTTGCTGGGTTCTCTATTCCAGTGCATTCCTGCTTGTATACATACTGGTTCTGGGGATGGCGAGATGGCTCAGTGGTTAAGAGCAGGGGCTGCTCTTCCAGAGGACCTGGATTCAGTTTACAGGACCCACATGGTGCATTTGTAACTACACAGTTTCAAAGGGCTCCAGACACTCACATGGTGTACAGCCATACATGCGGACGAAACACCCATACACATTCAAAAAAAGTGAAGTGAGGGTTCTTTGCCACATCCCTTTTCTCCCTCCCCATTCTCTCTCTCCCTCTTTTTCTCTTCTTTATTTTAAATAAATTCTCACTCTCCCAGGCTGGCCTCCAACTCACAATCCTCCTGTGTAACCCATGCCTGGGTCTGAATTTTCCTGAGCACAAATTTTTTTCCCTCTTTAGTTTTTCCCTCTGTTCCTTCCTTCCTTCCTTTCTTCCTTCCTTTCCTTTCTTCCTTTCCCTTCCTTCCTTCCTTCCTTCCTTCCTTCCTTCCTTCCTTCCTTCCTTCTTTTCTTTTGGATTTTTTCAAGACAGAGTTTCTCTGTGTAGCTTTGTAGACCAGGCTGGCCTCAAACTCACGGAGATGCACTTGCCTCCGCCTCCCAAGTGCTGGGATTAAAGGCATGCGCCACCACTTCCAGGCTCCTCTTTAGTTTTTTTCAAATGTGCATTCTTCAAACATGCTGCTCTCTCGCCTCCTTTCTTCTCCTTTTACATTTTCCTTTGTTTCTTTCTCCCCCACCTCTCTCTCCTTTTTAAAAACAGGGCCACATGTAGTCCAGGCTGACCTGGAACTTGCTATATAGCAGAAGTGGCCCTTCAGCTCCTGATTCTTCTGCCTCGATCTCCCAAGTGCTGGGATGACAGGCATGGACCACCACTCCTAGCTTCTCCCCGCTTCCAGCTTCACACTCACTGTGTGTCTTTTACACTAGCACAGGCCACAGCTTTCCTCGGTGTATGCATATGTGTGCACACGTGTTCACATGATGTGAGTGTACGTACATGTGCCATATGTAGAGGCTCTAGGTTGATGCTGAGCGTCTTCTTGGTCTCTCATTTGAACCCAGAGTTTATCATTTGCTCTGGGGATCCAGTCTTCACCGGCTGCTGCAGTTACAAGTGGGTCACTACTAGCCAGTGCTTTACCCACCGGGCGTCTCTCCAGCCCCTTCCCCTCTATTAACTCAGCACGCCTCACCAGGCTCAGATAACAGTCACCTTGCTCCTTCCACCTAAACCCTTTCCAGTGTCATCTGTTTTGGTTTTTTTTTTTAAAGCCTTCTGGTCTAATGTAAACTTATTCTTATTTTCCCAGTACTTACATTAAAACTGTAAATCCATTCTGAAAACAAACAAATAAACAAACAACAACAACAACAAAAAACCAGCCTCTGTTTCTAATACAAACTTTGACTCAGCCAGGATAGGCTGGGCTACACTGTAGTAGTACGACCTTGAGACTTATGATATGAGTAACCGCCTTGCTACTCATCCACTGCCAACTGGGGTGTATGGTTGGTACCATCTTTCAAGGATGGCCATCAGGCATGACCTAAAGATGATAAAACAGCCACCATTTTGACCCTTGCAAGATCTTGCCACAGGGAAGATAAATTCCAGTTAGATGACAAAGATTGCCTGCCTGGATAAAAAGAGACCTACTTCTGTGGACACTTGTGCATATACTTAAATAGACAAACACACATGCACATAAATTTAAAATGTCTTAAAATATAACACATTCATCTCCACCATATTCTACTGATCACACAGGCCAGCCATGATTCATTGTTGAAGAGGGCCATGCATCACTTATACTAAGTAAAAAATGTAAGGAGGTGGAAATTGCTGAGTCTACCTAGGACACTGGTTTATTATAAAGTGTTTTAAAAAAAAGGGCCGTGGTGTGAAATGAGATATTTATAATGCAGATAACTGCCTTGTATCAAGTCTACAAAGAAATCTAAGTCCATGCAAAAGGAGCAGTCAAAAAAGTAAGAGGAAGACTTGAATAGGAAGTCAATAAAGGCAACCCATACAACAAACACATGGATATAAGAAAGGCCACAGTGATGAGTGATGGCATTTTCAGGCCCTACCAGAAAGGCTATAATACAAAAGTCTGAACACACTAGGTATTGGCATGGACATAGAACAAAGGAAACTGTAGCATGCCATTGATGGGGTGTAAAATTGATACAATTGCTTTATAAATTAAAAATATATACATCTTACCATTCAATATTTTGGAAACATACACTACGATATACACAGTTAAATTAGTGGTGCTGTTTCACCTAATCTGAAATTGGAAAAGGAGCTAAGCGGTGGCCAGCAACATGTGAATGGATAAATTGTTCTATTGTGTGTGCTCAGAAGGAAACGGAGCAACATGAAAAAGAAGCCAAACAAAGCAACAAGCATTGAACAATTCCTTCCAAATGAAGTTGAAATACAGGTCAGTCAGGTTAGAGTGTACAGGGGAACAGAGCCAGGTGGGAAAACACTGCAGAAAAGCAACATAATTATATTCAATGATGGTTCTTCAGGGTTAGGGAGAAGGTAGGGGTTAAGAGGGGCTGGGGCTTCCAAAGTGCTGACACTGCTGTTCTTGACTGGTGTGGGATTTCTGAAATGTTCACTTTCAGGTGTGTGTGTGTGTGTGTGTGTGTGTGTGTGTGTGTACATGCACTTGAGTGTACATTCTGAGGCCAGAGGAGGACATCACACTGTCTGATTCTCTTGAGGCTGTCTCTCTTGAACCTCAAGCTAGGCTGGATAGTAAGCCTCAGCCACCCTCCTGTCTCTAACTGCCCCCTCCCACCAGTGCTAGGGCAACAGGTATGTGCAACCACACTCAGCCTCTTACATGGGGATCTGAACTTCATGATTATGCTCAAGCACTCTCACCCTTCGAGCTGTCCTTCCAGCCCAATGTTCACTTTCTAATGAGCAAAGATGATAGTTTCTCGTTTTTTTTTAATGGCTGCATATTTTTTTTCCTACAATAACCAGGCAAAAGTAAAACGTCATGGGTCTCCTCAAGGAAGGGGACACATTTTGAGAAGGACATTGCCAGGTGGCTTTGTCATTGTACCAATACACAGTAAAGAGACTCTGCTATTGCTGGGTTATACGTCTTATGGAACCACTGACATATGTGTGTCCCACTGTTGACTGAAGCACTGTTATGCAGAAAGTAACTGTAAGCCCAGGAGCTGTAGTGTTGCTTCTCCTAGAAGTAAGGGTTGAAGTGTTAGCTTTGTGCTTAGTCCATGGCAGGAACTCACCGCCTCTCCTCTTCACGGGGAAGGATGACAGGGCTTTTGCTCCACAGTCAGAAACAATCAGTGGAACGAATGTTTTGATAGTTGAGCCTCATGGACAATCGTGAAAATGTTCTATTCCTGACTCTCTTGTCCATTGCTAGATGTGCAGTAGATGGCTGACCAGCCTTTGCAACTGAGGCAGTGGGGGATGTGACAGTGGGAAGTGGGAGATGCGTAGCCCCTGACGTGAAAGTCACTCTTGGTTTGTCTTTGGCCTTTACAGGAACCCACCTGCAGATCACTGGGCTCTAGTGAGTGGTCTCCCCACTTATGTGGCCCAAAACGGTCTGGTAAGTGATACAGCTTGGAAGTGGGGAAGAGTTTGATTCAGTAGGACAGCAAAAAGATTTTGGTCAAGTCAATGAGGAATATGAGAGTTCGAGTTACTGTTTCAAGCCAGAGTTTCTTGTTTTTCTAGTTTCCTCAACAGCCAACCCACAGAAAAGAGCAGATATTTGACATATGGGGAAATTAGCAAATACCGAGAAATCATTCTTACACAGAAAGGTATACAATGTCACTGACAATAAAAACTTGAGCAAATATGTCAGGGCCAATGTCATGACTCGCCGATCTACCAGGATCTCCAGATACCAAGAAACGAGCTCTTACACCAGACTTAATTGCCATTCCCAGCCTTCCCCTCCTACCCACACACACATCAGAGCACCAGTGTATTTCCCCCTGCCATGCCTGAATGACAAAATACCTGGTCAGGGACCTTATGTAACTTTCAAAATCATACGCCCAGTGACCTATCTTCTCTAGCTAGGCCCCACCTCCCAAAACAGTGCCACCAGCTGGGACCAAGCTATCAAACCAAAGGCTTATAGGGGAAATCCCATGTGTAGACCAGAAGAATGTCCCACCCACTCGGGGTCAAGGGTGGAGTGATGGTGTGTGGTGCCAGAGCAGGGTCATGTGTGGGACACCATCAACACCATCATCACTAGCTAACGTTAACTCTGTCCTGTTTTGGTCTATGGCAAAGCAGTCCACCATGGTAAACAGGTGGTCAGAAAAACACAAGGAGACAGGGAAAGGAGGCGTAGGTTCCAATATTCAAGGGAATGCTCCAATACGTGGAAGGGCACCTAATAGGCCCACACACCTCTTAGCAGTTTCTACTGCTTTACATCAGGGTCTCGTTGGTGACTAAGCTTTTCACCCATGAGCCTTTGGGGGCCCTCAGCACCCAGACTCTATGACATGTAGACCTGGTGGGGAGGTTGGGAGCAACCTGCTGTATGTGCTTAGAGTTTCAAGGGTGTTAATTAGGTCTGAGACAAGAGGACATTTCAAGGTGGCTTGAGAGGGAGGATGGAGCCAGATCTAGTGGGCCTAGGATACCACACAGAAGGGCTGGGACTTTAATTCACAGGTGACTGGAGACAGACCGAGAAGAGTACAGTTCAAGTAAAAGGTGACAAGAATCTCAAAGGAGGGGTCAGGGGGTGTGGCTCAGGTATAGAGTGCCTGCCTGGCATGCTTGAAGCTCTCTCTGCACTTCATTAAACCTGTCGTGGTGGCCCACTCCTGAAATCCTAGCACCTAAGAGGTGGAGGCAAGGGGATCAGAAGTTCAAGTTCACCCTTGGCCACTAAGCGAGTTTGAGTCCAGCCTGAGCTAAAGGAAACTCTCAAACAAATAAACAAAAACCAATCTCGATGAAAGCAGACAGACAGTCACTAGGTACTGACGATGACCCAGGACCCAGTTAAATGTGCTCATTTAACACAACTTCAACAGAATGAGATGCAGAGAAGGGGATACAGGGTTAGGCCTCACGCTGAGAAGGCAAAGCTGGCAGGACTTAGTGACTAAGCCAGAGGACAGGAGCCACACATCAGAGTGAGTCTCAAGCTTCCAGGCAGGCTGGGCATTGTTGCTGTTGAGCCGGGGTATCCAATGACAAGTCACTTTCAGTCAAGGAGTAAAGACATCTCCCAGGAGCATGTCCAGCAGGTGGATGAAGAGACAATTCTGATACCATGGAGAGAGGAGTGCTGACACAGAGGCGGAGAGTCTCAGGGTCAGACAGCACTGAAAAGCACGGGTACAGATTGAGGCTCCGAGGGAGAGTGTGTCTGGTGCAATACTGGGAGATGCCAGGGATTCCGAAGCAGGTGGAGAAAGAGGATTCTGGGGAGATCAAACAGGAGAGGTCAGCAATGTTTGGAGATGAAGGAGAGGCAGTGCCATGGTAACCAAGGAAGCAGTAGGTGGGACCACATGCATGTAGCACAGGGATCTGGTAAGAAAGAAGCAGGAGTCCCACCAGGCAGACCCAGGAAAAGCAGACTTGGTAGCAAAATGGAGGTGGAAGCCAGCAAGAAGGCAACTGAGAAATGGTGGTTAATGAGCAGGTAGAGGATGTAAGAGAAAGGAGGAGAATGCTTGCCTGAGTGGTTGCTATGGTGATTGTGTCAGCTGAAGGAAGCTTAGAAGGATTGTAAGAGAGATTGGAGCATGCCCTGGGTTGAGGGGAAGCAGCCCTGAGAGAGAGCAACAATGTGGAGGGAGTAAGGGCCTCTGATGGACATGGTCCTTGCAGAGGCTGCAAGGATGCCACAATGCATGGGCAGTACTTAGAAAGGAGCAGAGACAACTCTCCCTCTGAGACAGGCAGCCTACCTCTGCAATGGGCAGTCATGGCCCATGTGAGGACATTTTGAGAACTGAAAGAAGCATCCTTCCTCAGGTAGATTTCAGCACTCAACCAGATGTCTTTGTTCAGTGTACACACTACAAAGCAGCACACAGTGCCGCATTATCAGTGCTCCAGAGGGATCAGATTGATTTAGTATTCAAGAGAGAAATCTAACAATATAGAATTAGAGTCAAAACACTTTTTGTTTCTTAATCTACTTTTTACAGTCCAAGTGAAGAATTCCTTCCTGTCAAACAAACAGACAGAACTCAAATGTAACTGAGCCAGAGATGTTTTGAGTAGCTTTGTGGAACATGCTGGTAACCTCAGACCTTAGGAGGCAGAGGAAGGTTGGATCCAACTTCTGGGCCAGCCAGGGCTGCGTAACAAGCTTGAATCCTCAAAAGAAAACAGCATGCACACATGTGTGCACATGCACCCACATGCATCTGAACACCCAAATACTAAACAAAAGAACATAGAATAGGATACTATGCAGTTATTAGTAAAGATAGCTGTACACTTTGCTTCTAAAGCCTAGAACTTCCTTGAGAATGTAAGAGAAGTAAACTCTGCCTGGTTTCCTTTTCTGTCTGGTAACACTAAGCCATTTTGAATCTGTCTACCTGATGAGAACACAGACATATTCTGGATAGTAACTAGGATTTGTAGGCTCTTGCTCTGACCAGTTCGATTGCTCCCCTCCCATCTTGCAGATCTGCAATATAATGAATGCACCTGCAGAGGACTATTTTGCATTCCAGGTAAGCCATTTTTATTTGTTCTCTTAGCCATGGGATTTTTTTCCTTTTTTTCTCTGGAAAGAGCATTAGAATACACTAGGACCTACCTGCTTTCTTGGGAAGGGGGAGAAGATGTTAATTGGATAAATTCCAACATCCCTTTCAATTTCAGGACAAGTACATCTTTTCTGACCTTGCAAACTTTCTGACCTTAGGACCTGCGCTTAGGCTATTCTCTGTCTGGGATGTTTCTGATCCTGACATCTACCATCCCAGGAAAGAGATAGTTCCTGGCATAGGGAGTCCACAGTGTTTGTGGGCAGCTAAACCCACACAAGATCTCAGTTCTCTCAAAACTGAGCCAGGCCATCCAGGTCCAGCCACAGCCCCTAGTCTATCCCAGCTACCTGTGCAGCATGGAAGTGGCGGAGCCTGCAGCCCCACCGTTCTCTTATAGAAAGAGCCTCTGGATGAGTCTGGATGGATGATTAAAAACGTGCTTTCCATGCCAATCGTCAACAAGAAGGAAGAGATCGTTGGTGTGGCCACGTTTTACAACCGCAAAGATGGGAAGCCCTTTGACGACATGGACGAGACCCTCATGGAGGTGTGGGATACTGGGTGACCCTTGCCTGGTGGTGTTCACAGTCTTCAGGCTTGGCCTCCAGAGCTGTGTGGTGGGACCCTAGTTTGCTGCCTGACCACCAGGGGGGATGGGAGTCCTGAGGAACCCTGAGAGTCACTTTCTTCTCCATGCCCCTTCCTCTCTGCCTGGCTTCACTCTTAGTAGCAGTTTTAGGTTTACAGGAGAGCAGATGAGAAAGCACAGAGCTTCCACGTACTTCCGGCTTGCTCCACACATTTCCCGTTGTAACATTATTTGTTAAATAAATTGTTTAAAATGCATTTACATCCATTATTTTATCACAGCCTGCCTGCCCCACGCAGCTTTGCAAACCCACTTTATAGCTGGGAAAACAGAGGTCTCAACAGTCTTGCCTCAGTCAGCACCGGGAACCAGGCTGCCGCCACCTCTAATTGCTTCTTCCCTTGCAGTCTTTGACGCAGTTCCTGGGCTGGTCAGTCTTGAACCCTGACACCTACGAGTCCATGAACAAACTTGAAAACAGGAAGGATATCTTCCAGGACATCGTAAAATACCACGTGAAGTGTGACAACGAGGAAATCCAGAAGATCCTGGTGTGTAGCGGCCTTCACTTGTTTCCACTCTGGTAGAGTATGCCATGGAGATGTGCCAGCCTCAGGCCAGGTGTGAAGCCCACAGTCTGGCATAAGTGGGTTCAGCTCTGTCTCTCCCACGTAGCACAAAGATGCAACAGGCCTCAAAGATGAGCAGATGGGTAGATGAGCATCAGAGAGTAGCCATTAAAGACTGCCAGAGGAGCAGTGTCCTTTGCAGGGGCACTTCCGTCTTGGGGTCTGACCCTGGTTTGATGGCATTATAAACCCCATCTTCCCCTGGGCTCAAGACAGACTGGGCACTAGAGATGGGGCAACCAATGTCGGCCCTTACACTTGCAGGATGCTTTTATTGGGCAAACTCTCAGAGCTGTTTCTCAGAGCCTCCCTTCTATGCGGTCATTCACTTAAAAGTCCCACACATGGGATAGAGTTTGGCGAGAAGAGCAGCAGTTCAGAGAGAGTAGGAAGCCTTCCCATAATTATACAACTTTGTAATTTAGGGATGGAGATGAGGCTCAGTGGTGGAGAGCTTGCCTAGAGTCACGAAGCCCGGGGTTTGATCCTGAGTGTTGTACAAACTAAGCATGGTAGAGCACACCTGTAATCACGGCCCCTAAGAGATGGAGGGTCAAGAATTCGAAGTCATCTTTTGGTTGCATATTGAGTTTGAAGCTAGCCTGAGCTTCGTAAAATTCTGTCTCAAAACAAAATACAGTCCACACAGAAAATTCCCATTTATGAATATGTTTAAGCCTTCACATGCGTTAACACTGTGGGGAGCAGGGAAGGATCTCATACACAGTGCAGGCATGAAGAAATTGAAGCCCCAAAGAGGGAGAGAACTTGGCCTCAAATAACCTAGTATGAGAAGAGTTCTCACTTAACCTTCATCAGGAAAGAGATCTACTTTTCTTGTGGATGGTACAGAAGGTGGCGGGCACCCCACCAGGACAGTGTAGATGCTCTCAGGTGTCAGGCGTGTTGTCGTGAACGGGGAAATGGATATGAGAGGATGGGTGGTCCATTGTTCCTGGAGAGGTTGGTGTTAAATAAACCAAGGGCCTACAAACTGAGTTAGTCAAATGGTTTGGGATATGATACCCAGCTGGTAATATACATCACACACTGAAACATACTAAACCAATGTTCTCCGAGGTCTCCTCTCCCTCTTCTTCTCTTCCCTTCCCTTCCCTTCTCCTCTTCCCTTCCCTCCCCTTCCCTTCCATTTCCTTCCCTTCCTTTCCCTTTCCTTCCCTTCTCTTACCTTTCCTCTTTTGTTTTTTGAGACATAAGTGGTTCAGGCTAGCCAATCCTTGTACCTCTGCCTCCCTGTGCTGGGGTTGCATTGCATTCTGGTTTTTGTTTTGTTTTGTTTTGTTTTTTGCTTTGCTTTCTTCAGAAAAAGGACTCACATAACCCTGGCTGACCTCAGACTTGCTCTGTACTCAAGAACAACCTTGACCTTCTGATCCTCTTGTCTCTGCCTGAGACTATAGGTGTGCACAACCATGTCTAGGTTACACAGTAACCCAGGGATTCATACATGCTGAGTAAAGAAGGCCTCCATCACTGACCTATATCCCCAGCCCAAGACCCGTTCTTAATCTTAGGAGATGTCAAAGAAAATCTTATTATTTCTTATTCATTGATGATCAATTCATTGATGAAAACACTGAGTTTAGATGAAACACTTTATTACTCAGGCCATAAGGTCAGTCAAATGCTGGATACATGGACCAGAAGGACATGTAGCCTCAATGAATAAGTTGGAAGTTAATAGATTTCACTTTGGATCAAGAAATCAGAAACAATTAACTGTTCCCCTTGATTTGGCACAAGGGAAAATAGGGCCAGAGAGGGAAGGATCTTGTCTCAGGTCACACAGCAAATGAAAGAACCAAGACTGTGGCCAAACCCTCATTATTCTCAGTCATTAGTAACAATAAGAATACAAATAGCAATATTATTTTGTTAGTACTATACTGTGACAATACTTTACGTCCTACATTGCTTGTGTTTTTCTTTGTTCAGGGATGGTTTTACTATATAGCCTGGACTTCTCTATATGGCTTACAGTGCCTTCATGTCTAAGATCCATCTGTCACAGCCTCTGAGTGCTGGGATTACTGGTGTGTTCCACCATGTCTGCCTAGTTCCCATATTTTGTTTAAAAACAAGAATCAGGCATGGTGGGGCATGCCCATAATCCCAACACTCAGGAAGCTGAGGTTGGAGGATGGAATGTTGTAGGTCAGCAAACCTGAGCTAGCCTGGGGTTTATCCCAGTGCTAAAGTGCTTGGCCTTGTATGGGCAAGGCCTGGGTTCCAACATTGGAAAAAAAAAAGACTGCACAATCAAACAATCAGCTATAGGCTTTTATTATTCCCATTTAGCAGATAACAGAATCAAGATTCAAAGCCATTCAGTAACACAGCTAGAAAGTGACAGCCTGAATTTGAAGGGAGGTTTCCATGGCTCTGAAGCCCAGGACTCCTTTGTCAACAACTGCTGAATAGCAGCTTCTGAGAGGGTGCTTCTGCTGGAGCAAGGCGAACGTGGGATGTGGAGGTCCCCTTGGGCTTTTGAGGCAGTAACTTACTGTATTTTCTCTGCTGTTTTGGGGCATGGAAGAAAACGAGAGAGGTGTATGGGAAGGAGCCCTGGGAATGCGAGGAGGAGGAGCTGGCTGAGATCCTGGTGAGCCACCTGACCCTTGGGCAGCCCTTCACCCTGCTGGGCTTCTCTCCTCAGACCTGGGGGAGGGATCCGAGAGCATGTCATGTCCCTTAATCGCTGGACCCCACTCCAATCCAGCAAGGAGAGCTTCCAGATGCTGAGAAATATGAAATCAACAAGTTTCACTTCAGTGACCTGCCCCTCACGGAGCTTGAACTGGTGAAGTGCGGCATACAGATGTACTATGAACTCAGAGTGGTGGACAAGTTCCACATCCCGCAAGAGGTGAGGCCCAGAGCCGTTTGTCCTCCCCCACTCTGCAGCCCCTTTATTTTAGCTCAGTGCTCATCATGTAGTCCAGCCCAGCCTTGAACTTGTGGCTGTTGGTCCTGCCTCAACCTCCTGGGTGCTGGGACTCCAGGTGGGAGCTACTACACTCAGATCACTGGCCTTCCCTTTTTCCCTCCCTCCCTCCCTCCCTCCCTCCCTCCCTCCCTCCCTCCCTCCCTCCCTCCCTCCTTCCCTCTCTCCCTCCTTCCTTCCCTCCCTCCCTCCTTCCCTCCCTCCCTCCCTCCTTCCCTCCCTCCCTCCCCTATTCCAGGCTTTAAAGAACATCTTGGTCTATGGAGCCTGCATTTGGCATTCAGAGTATGTGGCCTAGGGGCTGGATGGTCCTCTGTTACAGAACGCACTGCTCTTCTGGTCCGAGGTCCTGAAGCTCTCATGCTTGTGGGCGACATTAGTTAAGTTCATGGAAAAGTCCTCTTTCACAGCAGGATTCCTTACAGAGGTGCACTGTAGGAGGGTGTGTGTGAAGGAAAGGGTGCACAAAACCTCCTAGACTTAAAGTGGTAGCTTTCAAAGTACCGCCCTATACCATATCAGTACCGCCCAAGACACTGTTGGGCTGCCCATGTGCTTTACACACCCAGATACCCCACAGACCCAGACCCAGAGGCATGCCACCAGCTCTGACGAATCTGACACTAATAGGCTAACAGGACCTCCCGTGATTCAGAAGTGTACTCCAGCTTGAGAACCAGGGGATTAAACAGTCCTTTCTCCCAGGACAGTGGAATCCCAGACACATTTAGGAATTACTGATGGAGCTCAAGCTGTGAAGGAGGCAGCTCTTGGTTACCCTGTCTCTAACACGTGCTGTCATAGTGTCAGACAGAAGGATGCATTAGCTCATGGTTACCTTGTCTCTAACACGTGCTGTCATAGTGTTGGGCAGCAGGTTGCTTTCCTAATACTTCTGCATCTGTGGCTGCTTCCCACTGTCTGGGTCAACAATGAGGTTGGAAGATCTAGGGTCTCCCGAGGGAGGTCCTGGACACCTGGGCAGGCACATGCTTCCTCACTGATTTATGTGTGTTCACAGGCCCTGGTGCGCTTCATGTACTCACTGAGCAAGGGCTACCGGAGGATCACCTACCACAATTGGCGGCATGGCTTCAATGTGGGGCAGACCATGTTCTCCCTGCTGGTGGTATGGAGGGCTTTGGGGTGGGGGACTTGGCAATCATGGCATGGCCATTTTTATTTATTGACTTTTAAGAATTGCAACATTCTGTATGGGAGTGTAGTTTAATGATAGAGTACTTGCCTAGGAGGTTCCATTCCTGGCACTGGAGAAAAAAAAAAAGAATTGCAGAAGTAATACAAGCATAAAGAGAGGTTCCTGAATAAGCCCTTATGGTGGCTCAGGCCTATAATCACAGCACTCAGGAAGCCAGAGCAGCTCAGCCTGCACCACCTAGCAGGATTGTCTCAAAGCACAAACAAGAACAACAAATTTCAAGAATAGACGAGTGTACAAATCTTACCAAATTTTGTACAATACATAAGTGCACTCATACACATACAGCATACATGCCATTTATTTTTATGGTCAAAGGAATAATCTATAATATTTTATTTGAAAAATATATATCATACATTGTTATGTTCTTCCATTATATATGCCAATCAGATTCTTAAAATGTTTTATTTTTATTTTCTGTGGATGTTTTGTCTGCATGGTACACCATATGTGTTCAGTGCCCAAAGGTACTAGAAGAGGGCATCAGATCCCCTGGAGCTAGAGTTTCAGGCTGTTGTGAGCCACCATGTAGGTGCTGGGAATCGAACCTAGGTCTTGTAGAAAAGCAGCCAGTGTGTGTGGTTTTTTTTTTGTTTGTTTGTTTGGTTTTTTTTTTTTTTTGGTTTTTACGAGACAGGGTTTCTCTGTATTATTTTGGAGGCTGTCGGTCCAGCCTGGCCTCGAACTCACAGCGATCTGCCTGCCTTTGCCTCCCGAGTGCTGGGATTAAAGGCGTGCGCCACCACCGCCCGGCGCAGCCAGTGTTTTTAACTGCTGAGCCATCTCTGTAGCCCCAAAATTCTTTTAATACATAGACACATACCTATAGAAAACATACCTCCCACTATATGAAACATAAAATTTACCACTGAAGTCATTTTCAGATGTACAATCCAGTGACATTAAGTGCATTCACAATGTTGTACTATGTTGGCCACGATCATCTCTAGGACATTCATCTTCTCAAACAGTAGTTCTGTATTCATTAAACAATAATGTCATTTCTTCTAGTTCCTAGGCAACCCCACTTCATCTTCTCTCTATGTAAACTTGACCACTCTAGACGCTGTCCTAAGTGGAATCAAAACACTCGTTCTTACGTGTCTGACTTCTTTCACTTAGCATAGTGTCTGCAAGGTTCATTCAATTATTGCTACACAAAGGAGTTGTCCTTTGCAATCTGTGTGTTGGGAGGTTGTTCTAGGACACCTCCTCATAAGAAAACTCCATGTATGGTCAAGTCCCTTATATAAAATAGCGGAGTATTTGTGTGTAGCCTATGCTTCCTATATATTCATGTTTGAGATAGGGTCTTGAAATGTAGGTCAGTTAAACCTTAAGGTCAATTAAAAAATATCTTTTGGGTCCACAACTAGTTGGAGCCCATACACAGAGAGGGCTGACAGTAATTGCTGTACTATAATTTCTTTACCCAACTCCATATTGTTGAATATGAAGATTCTTTTTCTAATCCTTTACTATGACAAGAATTGCTACAATGTCTTTGGGTGGCCTTGGTATGTTTGTGTCCATATTTTTGACTCAGAAATTTCAGAGCCCATCATACCTCATTGAAAGTGTTTCTCTGTATAGGTCATGCTGCAACTCCTGCTGGCCTCATGCTCCTTGTCTGCATTCCTTCTCCTCATGACTACACCTAAGCACTAGGGCTTGGAAGCAGAAGTTCTAGCTAGGCCACAGAAAGTGATAACAACAATCTTAAAGTTGGCTTTTCTTCCTTTCCCTTCCCTTCTGTCCCCCCTAACCCCTACCCCTACCTCCATCCCCGTGTGTGTGTGTGTGTGTGTGTGTGTGTGTGTCTGTGTGTGTGTCTGTGTGTGTGTGTTGTGTTGACACAGGGTTCAGGCTAGCCCTAAGTTCGCTATGTAGCTTGAAGAAGATCTAGAACTACTGATCTTCCTGCCTCTGTCATCTTAGGCATGCAGGCATCACCACCCCTGGCAATATCTGGCTTACTTCACAGAGTCAGTGTCAGCCCTACAGAGTTCTCCCCACCTTCAATTCAGTCTCGGCACAAACAAGAGTAAAATATTTGAAGCAGCCCCAGAGAAAAATCCTTCCAGGTGTGCCTTGACTGGTAGACCAGGTTTGGAAAGTCGACTTTACAAGTCTGGCCATGTTCAAAGGCTTCACAGTGACACAATGTCTGTAAGGCTTCCAATAATCATTATGTCCAGCCTCCCCCACCTCCAGAGCATAGATACAGGGGTCCAATTTGGATGACATAGGACTAGGGCACTCAGCATCCCTGCTTACCTGGGAACTGTCTCAGTTCAGTACTGAAACTCTACAGCCTGAGTAGAACAAACCACTGGTCACCCTGGAAACAGAATGTGATAAGACCCAGCTGGGGACACAGCTCGCTTGGTGGAGTGCTTGCCTAACACACAACGATCCCTGGGTTTGATGCCCAGCACCTCATAAACTGCGCGTGGTGGCACATGCCTGTAATTTCAGCACACAGGAGTGGAAGCAGGAGGACCAGAAATTCAAGGTCATCATCTTCAGCTACATAGAGAGTTCTAGGCCAGGGCCTACAAGACAGCTTAGTGGTAAAGGCACTTGATGCTAACCCTGATGAGTTGAGTTCTATCCTTGGTAGAGGGAGAGAACCAGCTCCCAAAAGTCGTCCTTTGGCCTCCACAGGTGTGTTGTGACACACACACACACACACACACACACACACACACACACACAGAGAGAGAGAGTGAGAGAGAGAGAGAAATAAGTATAGCGAAAAAATTTTAAATGAGCTCTAGGTAAGTCTGGAATATATGAGACACTGCCTCAAACAAAAATAAACAAACAGACTTACGTGTGTAGGCTCCAGCCTTGCCCTCCCTATCCACCTGTCTGTCTACCTTGCTTCCATCCCACTAAATGGCAGTGACTTATACCTCTACTCTCCTTCCAGACGGGAAAGCTGAAGCGATACTTCACTGATCTGGAGGCTTTGGCCATGGTCACTGCTGCCTTCTGTCATGACATCGACCACAGAGGCACAAACAACCTCTACCAGATGAAGTGAGTCAGCTCTTACCACCTCCCAAAGTTCATTACCCAGATATGTACAATCCCTGGGTCACCTGCCAGGGAAAGGCCCAATTGTCCATAACCTACCACTTTTCCTTCACTTAGGATCTAGGTTTAGTCCTACGGTAAACAGAATAATGACTTCCCAGACATGTCCACATTCCAAATCCAGGAGCCTGGGAATGTTGACTGACACTCAAACGGGAGTTTTCAGTTGTGATTAATCAAGGAGCTTGAGATGCGAACCAGGGTGATGTGCAGGGCTCCTGCAGCCCAAAGGGTCCTGGTGAGAAGGAAGCAGGGAGTTACAGAGAGCTAAGGTTCATCTGCTGCCTTTGAAGATGCCAGAAGGGCCTACCAGCAAGGAATGCAAGTGGCCTCTAGAAGATGGGAAGGACATGGGAGACAGACTCACTCTTCCAGGATCTCCAGAAGTAGAGCAACCTGGAACTCAAATTAGCTATCTGAACTCCAGGAATAAAAGGAGGCACACTGAATTGTTTTACACCATTAAGTCAGTGACAGTTTGTTATTGCAGCAACAGGACATTAAAACTTCACATACTTTCATTCTTCCCCCTTCCCCGTCTTGTGTGTGGAACTAATTTGAGTCAAAATGTTAGTAATTGTAAAAGTTCATTCATTTACCTTGCACTTGAAATGTTCCTGGGGTGATGAGCTGCATTTAAAAAAAATGATGATGATGACAAAAAACCCCAGCCCCCATCCTTACAAAATTTATATTCCAGTTGGCCTCTGAGGCATGCTTTGAGATAGGTACACCACAGTTGTTACCTTACTGTCCTAAGTAGGTTTCTGGTGCTGTGATAAACATCATTACCAGAAACAACTTAGAAGAAAAAAGAGTTTATTTCATCTATAGGTTCTCATCCATCACTGAGGGAAGTCAGGACAAGAATGCAAGGCAGAAACTTGGAGGCAAGAACCTTAGGTGAACTTTTATTCCCCCACCTGCCAGTTCCCAAATAGCCAACATGGAGGCTTAAAATTATTTATAAATGCTTGTTTGAATAGCTCAGGCTTATTACTCACTAGCTCTTACAACTTAAACGAACCCATTTCTATTAGGTTGTGGAACAGTGTTGCTTACTGGCTTATTCCTCAGGCTTCCATCAGCTACCTTTCTTACACCTGGGTGGCACAATCCCCCAGTGGCTGGGCCCTCCCACATTAATAATTCATCAAGAAAATGCCCCCTCAGACTTGCCTACAGGACAATCTGATAGAGGCATTTTCTCAGTTGAGGTTCCCTCTTCCCAGATGACCCTGGCATGTGTCAAGCTGACAAAAAACAAAAACAACAATGACAAAACACTAAGAAGCTCACTCATGCTACATGAGAACACTGAGATTCCTCTAGATTCCCCTTGGGCCCATGGCCTATAAGACATTCTAAGCACTAGAATTCATGCTTCCCCCATCTTCTCACTGTCCTAGGAGGCTCCAAGGACCATGTTATGCTTTACACTGTGGAACTCTGAGCACTAGGCATAGCATTGTAAGTCTTCAACAAATATTTATTGACTTTAAAAAAACAAACATTTCTTTCTCGTGGGAATTTGGTGATTTCTCCCTAAAACTTGGCTATCTTTAAAACATGGTTTTCTCTGTGTGTGTGTCCAGGAAATAGACAGCTCTCTAAAGCAGTGTGTGGCCTTGTATATCCATGTGTCCTTTTCTGGGATAACAATGTCTAAAGAGTCCATGACCCAGAAGAGGCTCTCAGTTGCTTGTGAAGAAAAGCAAAGATAAAGTTAGGACATTTTCTCATCTTCTACTGTGTTTTTATTTTGTGCAAGACCCTCCCCTGCTTCTTCCCCATCAGCATCTGCCTACAGAATTAGGAGATGGCAGGACGGAGTTATAATATCTTTAGTCTCCATCTTGGTCATTCTATGTTGATCTTCATATTCTCATTCTCTCTTCCTCCTTCTCTCTTTCTCTCCTCCATCCCTCTCTCTTTCCCTCCTTTCCCTCTCTCCCTTTCTCTTTCCCTCCCTCCTTTCTCATTTAGATCACAGAACCCACTGGCCAAGCTCCATGGGTCCTCCATCTTGGAAAGGCATCATTTGGAGTTTGGCAAAACACTGCTGAGAGATGAGGTAGGATGACTCTTATTTCACAGGGACCCTGCATGAGCACAGGCATCATTTGTGCCATTGGCCAAGGTTGTCATTGTCTTGTCATTATTTAGGGTGACCACCAGAAGAAGAGTGACTTTACTACCAGCGCCATTTCTCAAAACTTGTCTAATTCTTTTCTTTAGAGCTTGAATATCTTTCAGAACCTGAACCGCCGGCAGCATGAGCACGCAATCCACATGATGGACATCGCAATCATTGCCACAGACCTGGCCCTGTATTTCAAGTAGGCATTTCTCCTCACTTTAATATTAGCAATGATTATAGCAGTAAATGCCATAGTTCCTACTGATCTTTGTTCTGTGTCAGGTCCAACATGTCATCCCTGCAAGGTGGGTGCTCCTACACCCATTCTACAGGGAAACAGATTTGCTAAAATCACATAGATCAGCAGCATCTAGTCTAGAATGAAGTCTGTATCCCAAGGCCATCGTTTTTAACATGTTGTTTTGTCAACTATGTGAATTTAATAACCTCCCCATCTAGAACAGCCTATGTTAGCAGCCCAGCTGTTGCCTCATTCCTATACTTGATCTCTTTAACAAACTGGTGTGTGTTTCAGGAAAAGGACAATGTTTCAGAAGATTGTGGATCAGTCAAAGACATATGAGAGTGCCCAGGAGTGGACCCAGTACATGATGCTGGAGCAAACACGGAAGGAAATTGTTATGTGAGTAGAGGCAGGGTTAACTCTCACCTGCCTGGGGTCCAGAGGGTGGAGGCTACACCCACATTTCTTGCTGCTCTCAATAGAGCCCTGGGACACTTGGCACTTTAGAGATCCCTCGCATTTGGAAACATGAAGCTGTGTCCAAACAGGATGGTACAAGTTATGATCTATGTTTAACTTTTATTTTAGCACTGAAAACACAAGAGAATATATTGTTATTGTTTTATATATCTGCATGCAAAAAACATACTACTTAAAGTATTTCAGTTATAAACTCTAGGATTTGAGTAGCAAAGTGATAAAGTGGTCAAGTTCTGAACAAAACATGTGCTAATGATAGAGTGCAGGTCCAAGGACCTTAGTATAATTCCCAGAGACTACATAAAAAGACAAATATAACAGAGCTCCCTAGCACTGGGAAGATGGAGATAGTTGGATCTCTTGGGTTCACAGTCGCAGCTGGCCAGCCAGCCGTCCTAGCCTTGTTGATCTCAAGGCCAGTGAGAGACCCAATCTCAAAAAACAAGGTAGATGGCTCCTGAAAACAATATAGTTGTTGTCTGCCTCCTAGATATGTACACATATACACACATACACATGAACTTGCATGTGCATGAACACACACACACACTTTTTAGCATCCTTAATCCCAGTACTCCTATGTAGATGGGTGACAGAGACAGGCAAATCATTCAAAGTTCACGGACTAGCTGGCCTGGAGTGTGCAGTCACCACGAGACACCTTGCTTTAGCAAGGCAGAAGGTGAGAACGGACTCCTGGAGGGTGTCCACACTCATCCCCCTGCACGGAACATCCAGAGAATTCTGAAACAGAAGGATAATAGGGAAGTTTAGCTTAAACATAAGTAGGTACTGAAGTCAATAGGGCAGTTCTACTTTGAAGGACTACATGCGCTTAAAGTGGATTTTTCTATCAGTAGACAAGGGCATACATTCATATACAGCCTTGGGACAACAGGCTGGCTGCAAAGTTAGATCCTTCACTCTATACATTAAAGGAAATTCAAAATGAACCAAGAATTTTTAAAATAATGGGGGGTGTGATGGGAAAACTAAAAGGAATAATTTCAAAATAAATTTTTCTAAGACCTGGACCTGGCTTTCATAAGTTATAAAGCATGATTGGATAAATTTGACTATTTGAAAAAATCAAGAATCTCTGCACAACACAGACACAGACACACACACACACACGTGCACTAATACATAGGAACACGTACACACATGTGCACCAACACATACGAACACACACACATACACTAATACATATGAACACACACACACACACAGCCAAAGACAGAATTCAAAGAATTCAAGTGACAGGCTGAGAGAAAGTATTCATGGTACTTCAAACAGAAAAGCAGCTAATTTCCTCAGCTGATGTTAACACAATTTAAGAAAAAGGCCAAGCCAATAGAAAAAAAAGACAAAAGGCTCACACACAGACACTTGCCAGAAAAAGAATTATAATGGTCTGTAAGTGATGATGGTGGAACACATACTACACACTGAGAGAAGTACAAAACAGAACTACAATGAGAGACAGTGTTTTACTCCTCCTCTTGGCAAAGACTAATAGATTTAGCTCATTGTGTTGGCCGGAGTGAGGGGAGCCGGCACTCTTGCTCGCCAGGGCGGGAGGGCAAATAGGAATAATCCTTACAGAGGTCAGTGGGGCACTACTTTCTGTGAAGCTGTGACCCCAAACTCGAGAGAACACCTTAGCTGTCTTCTGAAAACAGTTTTCCAGTTGAAATAAAACGGGCCAGAGAGGGGGAAGGTGGGGCAGGGAGGAACAGGTGAGGACTATTCCAGTGCTTTGATAAGTCAAGGCGTCTTTCCTACTGTCTCAGTGAAAAGTGTGTGGCTTCAGTTGTTTTTGCTTATATTGTGACTCTGTTTCTAATGACACTGATTAACTCTTTAACAGCCATGTCTTCCTTGTCCACAAATTTAATCAATTCCTTTTTCTGGCCAGACTGAACATTTTCAAATCCTTCTATGCTTCTTTCTGTTCCCAGTTCAGAAGTATCCAGCAATATCTGTGCCATCTTGAAATTTCTTCCACCGAATTAATTAGATCATTACTTTTTTATTTGTTTGTTTGTTTAGTTTTTTTTCTGAGATAGGGTTTCTCTGTGTAACAGCCCTGACTGTCCTGGAACTAGCTTTGTAGACCAGGCTGGCCTCAAACTCACAGAGATCCACCTGCCTCCCCAGTACTGGGATTAAAGGTATGCTCCACCAACCAGAAACCTTAAGAACACTGTCTGTACTGTCTGTGCATTTATCAGCATTGTGGTCTTCTGCGTGTCCATTGGAATCTGGCACTGCGTTTTGCTGACCAAATCCTAGGTTTACCAATCTGCTTCCCCAAACTCATATGTCTCTCACAAACCAGTTCCAAAGGCTTAAGCATGACATTTTCCAGGGGGTCACAATGCCCTCACACCTGGTACCACCCCTAGTTTCTCTTATGCAGCTTTGACCAAACCAATTGAGAGAACAATTTAACAAGAAGAGTATATAATCCCAGATTTGGGATGCAGAGATAGGATTGCAGCAAGTTCAAATCCAGTCTGAGCTACTTAATGAATTTGAAGTAAGCCTGGGCTAGACAGAAGGATCTTGCCTCAAAAACACCAAAAAGGTAAGGGACTATTCTGAATGTGGCCTCTTGCACAGCAAACGCCACTGCTTAGACCCACCTCTAAGATTTCATCATTCACTCATTCTCCCGCTTGTGCACCAAAGGGTGTATGAAAGTCTTTGTCATGTGACTTCTAATCACAGAGAAGACTGGAAACACTTACACTCCCACCATTCAGAACCTGAGCTAAAAAATTACAGTATTTTTCACAATGAGCTGTCAAATGGACTTTGCAAGCACCTATCATATCAAAGATAAAAACAAACAGACATGGACAGGACTTTGGTTATCGTAAAAAGCCAAGATGGTCTACCAAGCAGGGAACCCAAAGCCTTCCAAGGCATGCCTGGGTGTGGTAACTAGTGTTCTCTTTCATAACGTTAATCTTCCTGAAAACAAACCAGAAGCTTAGGCAAGGCGTTCCCACCCTTCTGCCAGTTGACATAGTAAAGCCACATTCTTCCCTCTCTTGATCTGCCTACAGGACTTTGGCCCAGGTGCAAGAGCCTCATGGCCATAAAACAAGAGGAACTATCTGAATACCAACGTGTTAGAAGCACTGGTGTCTTCAAAGCCCCTTCTGAAAGACGTGTTACAAGCCTGAGGAAGAGATTCAGGCCTCCCCTGTTTTATATATTCTGATATAAACATACTTTCCTCTCTATTCTCACAAGAACACTTTTGACACAGGATGTGCAGGTTTCTTTCTCTGTGGTCCCTCCCAGGGCATCCTATAATCAGTGCACTGCTGAACTCTCCTCTGCCTGTTATAACTATTATCTGAACTATCAGAGTCAGTTGAAAACCAAGGTCTTGGCACATGCTGAGACAAGGGCTTCTCTTCAGAGTTTCTCTCACCCTGCCTTCGTTTCTGTGTAAGAGCACACGCTAGCCAATTGCACCACTGAAGCGTTCTCCTGCTTTCATTTCTGACGCAAATCACACGTCTGGGCTTTTCATATTTCAAACAAATGTATGAGTCAGACAATCTCCCGACTTCCTCATTTCCTATGGTTTTCCATAATGGCTTCTAGAACTCTGGAAAATATCTTACATTTGCCAGTTTGTGTTGGAAGATGGAATGGCTAGATAACCAGACAGAGTATATAGGAGCAGTGTGGTACCAGGCGACCATCTTCTTAGGTTTTTTTGGTTGTTGTTTGCGTTTGTTGTTTTCTGAGACAGGGTCTCACTACGTAGCCCTGGCTAGCCTGGAACTCGCTACTTTGCTAGAACTCACAGACTCTGCCTGTCGTGCCTCCAAAGAACTGAGATTAAAGGCGTGTGGCACTACTTCTGGCTCCAGCCTTTCTTCAGAAGACAGTGAACAGGGACAAAATATCCAGTCCTGAAATCAGTCGGTCCTCCTGGTCATCGACTCCAATCCAAGGCTGTCTAGGGGGTCTCATCCCAAGCTACCTTATTGGTATCACATAAGGTCAATCATAAGGAGCTCACTGCAAACAGGACACTCCCACACTCAGGGAATTTAAAGGCTGTAGGAGCTGTGTGCAAGGACCCGAGGACAAATGCCAGCTGCATTTCCTATTATACCCCCATTATATGCAATATTTTAAAAAGCAAAACAAGGCATTAGAGATGGAGGGTTTTGTTCTTGGCTGTTTAGCACATAGGCAATATCAAGGTATGTCCCATTTAACAACTATGACTTCCTTCAGAAGGTGTGTCACTATCTAGGGACCATATGATTAGAGCAAAGACATCCTTAGGAAGTACTGAAGTGACAGATTCTGTTATTTTACCTATCTATCTATCTATCTATCTATCTATCTATCTATCTATTTATTTATCTATTTATAGTTTTTTGAGACAGGGTTTCTCCATGTAGTTTTGGCTGTCCTAGAACTCACTCTGTAGACCAGGCTGGCCTTGAACTCATAGGGATCCATCTGCCTCTGCCTCCCGAGTACTTGGATTAAAGGTGTGTGCTACTATTGCCTGGCCCTGGTATTTTTTTTTTAATTGCTGAGGGGATCAAATCTCATGATGTCAGGTAAGGACTCTCCTGAGTTACACTATGGCCAGCTTCCTTGCTTGTCTGCCTCTCTGACTGCCTGCCTGTCTATCATCGATCAGTCAGTCATTTATCTATCTAGTCACCTGTTTATGCTAGTCAGTGTTCTGTTGTAGTGACACCTAAAGGGGGAGCTCTATTGTGAGTCCTAGTTTTAGGCACTTCAGTCTGAGGTTACTTGGCTCCGTGCCTTGGGTCTGTAGCTGCACGGTATATCATGATCACACCATATGGCACAGGAGGCCTGGCCTGCTCTCCTCATGGTGGCCAAAGAAAGAGGAAGTGGGATTTTTT